CCAATTGATGTAATTTGTAATTCTTCTAAATAAGGCCATTGTACAGTAAATGTTTCAGGTAATTTCTCTAATGGTATTTGATTAGAATTGATGCTAAGTAATTGAAGATGATGAAATTTTTTAATAGCAGTTAAAAAGTTAAAATTAGGAAATTGATTAAAACCTATGTATAATTGCTTCAATTGTTTACCTAAATAAAATAAGTTTAAACTAAATAAATCTTTATTTTCATTGTTGTCAATGAGATTAGTTAGTGCACAATTTTGAATATTTAACTGTTCTAAATTTCTATTAACATAATCACCTAAATTTAAGTTTAAACTTGTTTCGTTAGATTTTATATTTGTTTCTTGACTATCATCAGATGATGACAGTGTATTACCTATTGTCCTTTGTAAATTTGTTCCATCCAAACTGAATAATTTTAATGTATACAAATATTTTGCCCATATATGAGAATTTTCTAATAATTTCCAACCATTACCAGTTTGTTGTTCTATTCTTAATTTTAAGAGTTTATTTTCTAAATTATTAAATGGAAATGCTTCATTATGTATTCTATTCAAATTATTGTTTATCATGGTTATAATTTCCAAATGTTTTATCCAACCATGAAATGCATACTGTGGTATACCAATAGACATATCAATATTTTCTAAATGAAGTGATTTTAAATTGTGTAGATTTTTTAATTCTTGAAATAAATTTCCAGATACTTTTTTCAATTCTGCACTGAAAATATTTCTAATATAAAGTACTTCCAGATCAGATAAACCTTTAAAACATCCATGTTGAAATATGTGTAAAGATAATCCTTTCAAAATAAGTTTACGTTCAATAGTTCCACGATATGTTGCTATGTTATTAGGATTATTCTTCATAATATTTTCAAATGTACCAGATGTACATATTTCAATATCGGGATTATTTTCAATATGTATAGTACTAATTGAATAGTTATTATCGGATTGAATTATTATTGGTAATCTATTGCCAAACTGTGATGTAATATCTCCTCTACAAATAATCATTTTAGCGTTTGGATGTATTGGATCCGATTGTTCAATACATGGTCGGAAGTGTTCTGACCCACGTAAATAGTCTACAATATGATGATCAGATTGTAATGAATTATTTTCATATAACTCGATTGCATATGTTGTCATCACAAATAATAACATACCATAAATATACAAACATAATGTTGCAAGGCAGATTAGTTGTTTTCTTTGATAAATAAACATTTTAATTCCATGTTGAATAGTTACTTATGTTTATCGATCACATGATTCGTGTTAAAGAAAGTATAATTTATTTATTATGTAGATAAAATGCGGATTGTATATCGATTGAATTATTGGTCTGTCATTTTTTAAAGATAATTATGCTTTAAAATAGTCCATATTTCTATGATTAACTGATTGATATTTAATTTCCATAGTAGTCAGTTCACATTACTTCATCATGGCTTTCTATAATGAATTATGAAAGTGAATCTTTCTTGGTTATATACACAATTTTATGTTAGATTCTAATTGGTCTATTGATTGTGCATGATGTTGATTTATTTTATGAAATGATTGGTTAATAATCACTGTCTTTTCTTAATTTTAACCACTACTAACTACTGTCTAGCATTAACATCTAATTTAGGGCATCAGTAATGTCTAAATACTTGTGACCAGTTATCCAATAGTATTATGTATTTTCTGTTGTTTTCATTAACTATTTTAACCTATTGTAATAGTAGTAATCTACTTTTTTGTTGTTCTGATGACTCATAAAAAGGTGTACTTTTACCTTAGCTATGATTATCGCATATATTCAGCCACTTCATAGTAGTATCTAGATTCAAAATAACTGCATTATCGAGATGCTTCGAATATATATTTTGTTTCACAACACTAATCTGTCATCTAAAACTAACACATATCGTTTAATGATTTGGGCTAATTTTTTCATTTTATTTAAGCACATATACATTGGTACAAGGAGGCTCCGAATATATATATATATATATATATATATATATATATATATGCCATACAAATCATCCCATTTGTTTGTGTGTGGGGGCTAGGATACTGCCCGTGCGCTCGAACCGAAGCAGATGGTCTACTTATGGGGCCAATTCCCGATTCTTTAACCTAGAGGTCTAATCCATAAGGCAGTGGAGCAACGTTAGGAGACGCGGTCTCATGGTAGCCGGTGACCAACAATAGGTTCATCCACCATTTATTCCCACAGGATCTTGGAGCCCATGTGGACCGTTTATTTGGATTTAGGGTTCTCCAACTCCCCTAGATGGATCCTCTGTATCCGCCAACTCGATTAAAGTGCCGGACATTCGCTTCTCGTCGTTTCAACTTCGTAAAGAAGACCCCCACCACGAGAAGGCAGTGAGTAGGACTTCCATGTCATTGGTTTTATGTGTGTGGCCATTAGAGAGCATTTCTAGAGGAGGAGCACATTCACCACCCTCAGCCGTACCAGGGCATATATTGTTTATATAAATAAATCGGGCTAATTGAGTTCAAGTTAGATTATTATTTCCATGAATATTTGAGGTATTTCTTGTTGATTAATAGTGACTAATAGTGCTGCAGGAATTGATGATCCTTGTCATATTCAAATCTGTATCATCCAATTTTACAATCAGTGGAGTTATTTTTACTGAAGTTGGCCTCCATAAGATTGAAATGTTTATGTTCATTAAAAATTGATTAGTAACCTACATGTCGTTATATATTGCTTAGTGCTTTCGAACGATTTCCATTCTGGCCACTTGCATAGCTTTTATTAAATTTGAATTAAGGTTATCAATGGAATCTACAACCTGGGTTTCATCCTGTGTTGGACTCGTCACTTGAATATTTCTTCATACGGGTTTTGGTGGTCTCAATAATCTTTTAACTCACTATTTTACCTTATAAGCATCAACACATTATCCACTAAAGTATTAAGTTCGCATAATCATTAATTTGTCCTATGATATACATTTGACAATAGACATTAATCAGTTGCATTCATAAACATTAATACCAGGAGAATCTATAAACGCTTACAAGTAAAAACTAGTATAACTTGTCTTTATAGGAAAATTGGTTAGCTTTTCATAAAATAAATAGAAATTAAAGAGTTTACATCATATACCTGTTTTCCATAATATACCATTCTATACTATTTACTTCATTAAGAATTTTGGAGCTTTTTCTTCTCGTATTTCAATCTCCTCATTTATGTTGTTTTAATACATATAATAAATTTGTCAAATTGAATAATAATCTCGTCTAGCATTAGTTTAGCACTGGTTACATCACTCTACTTTCTAGAACTATTCTCATTAGTTTAACCAGTCGAATTAATTTACATTTGCTCTCATATAAAAACATTGTGATGAATTAAGGATAATTTCAATTCCTTGAATATATTTTTATTAGTATTTTAAAACTAGTGAATAATTATTGAAATGAAGTTCATACTAATGTTGAATTTCGAAATTGCTTTATTTCTTTTCAAGTGAATATCTTGATCCATTTACAGTAGATCTTTTTTTAATTTCATTAATAGACCACGTCTGTAAGATTTCCAAGTGTCCAATTCCTTTCCTTTGATACCATTTCCCTTCTTTCTTTAATATCAATGTTGCTTTACCTAGTGGAATTAATAGTAACTTGTTTGAAAATTACATGGATATTCTTGTTATTTGATGTTTATGTTTGAAAAATCAAATAACTGACTATATATGTGTATAATATTTTGCGTCATGTCACCCGAATTCCTCAATCAACGGTTACAACTACTTTTTGTATCCCAACTAGGAATTTCTATGTCGTTACCTTTCTTCCAACTCACATCTATGCCTTCTAGCATTCCACTTCGAGCTAAGCGGTATATGTACGCCCATCTTATCAGTGTTATACTGTTATTCCGTCATTTATTGTTCGTTATGACAATTTGAAATGACTGTTTTAGCGTATCTTGATATCTTCTGTGCATATATATATATTCGTTTTTCTCATTAAGTTTGTGATACTCCTGATTTAAAAAAGAACTATCCACTATCTCTACTATTTCGACACCTTGCTTGTTCCGAACCATGTTACTTTTTTTAGTTATCTAAACTTCTTTCCACTAACAATATTTTTTTGTTATTTTTTTGTTTTCAATTATTCATTTCGTTGATAAACTTTCTTATTTATTACTTATAAGTTTAATTTGTAGGATGAAGTGTCTTCCAAGCAAGTATATATTCAAGTAAAAGAGTGAATGAGTTTTACATGAAATCTAGATCAACCTGTTTTGCAAAATATCATGTTCTTTTCTCCTTTGGTTTTGATGTTATCAATAAGTATCATCTAATCATCATTCACTATTGTCCTACTCAGTTAATCACTAACAATGTGCGAACAACTTCAACGTTTTTTGACTTGATATGAGGTTTTGATGGAAAGGTACTAAGATGTACAAGATTAACTTTTTTCTTATATGTCAGTGTTTGACGTAAATATAATGTGACTCATTTAACAATTACAGGGATCTCTGTAGTCATCATACAGTCACTTTATTTGTGTGTAAGGATCTTATGATGTAGGGTTTCTTGTCTGCTACCATTAGCCACCATCGTACATCTCAACATAGTGCATACGATGTCGAGTCACTTAGACTAGTAGATACACTGCAACCTGATCTACAGAATTTAATTAGCACTAAGAAGAATATGACATACATAATATCAATCACTGCTCTGTGATCAATGGATTGTAAGTACTATCTATCTGCTTAAACTGCAATCTACTAGTTGGAAACCGAGGTCTTCAAACGAATGAGCGGATATTATTATTGAGGTTGGTTTTTACAATAAAATATCTATAGAAGTTTCATTGTTGAAGCCATATATTTATTTTTATGAAAGTAATTAAAAATGTTTCTATTGCATATTATAACTAGTTTTGTAACTTTTATCACTGGTGTCTATTTTTGGGGGACATTTGCTTCAGCTATTTCACTTTCCATGCCCTTCTACATCGTCACTCCCGGGATCCGATCGCACAACAAGATCTCTTTCAAATGAGCCCGCTATAAAATTACATGGGAATTTGTATTTACCTCATATAGATGTAGATAATTCTTCCAGGATAACTTCAGGGTCACAGGTGAGCAATTTTAATTTACATGAATAATCTCTGTTACAATTAGATATACCAAGACTTTGTCAACGAAATTCACATTGATTTTACTCATTTCTGTGTGGATTTGGATATCAGTATTATGGATCGTATACATCGTATTACCGATGCATGGGCAGCTGCATCGGAAGCTGTCAGTCGTTTATCACCATTAAGACCGTCTGATTTCAACCATCATGCAGAATGGTGTGATACAGACATAAATAATGATATTCCAGTTACGATGAAGTCTGGTCATCATCATCATGTAGAGCTGGTAAGTTATAATTTCTCTCTATTGTATGTCGATTTTTGACTGATTCTTAAATAAATACTTGGTTTTGAAAAAGGAGTGTTATATATATATATATATATATATATATATATAAACCAAGAATCCATGTATCTGAACTGTTAAAACAGCATTTTTAAACTAAACTGTTGATAGCTCAATCCTGTATGCTACCTTTGTTGTGAATTATCCACTAAAGTCCACTTTCAAATCATATCAGTCAATTTAATGTATGAGATAGTCATTAACTAATTAAATGATAACCTATAACTTGATATTGGGTTATTTTTATTAGCTAAAAATACTGTTCATGTTCTTGTCTCCACTTGATACTTTTCACCGTTTTTTTTTGGGGGGGGGGATTTAAGGCATTAGGTAGTTGACCCGTTTTCTAGTTGTTCTTTTAGACTGAATGCTAACACATTGAGAAACGCTATTCAGAATCGCTTGACCATTTAGTTTATTATTTTTGTTTTACAATATCAACAAAACACTGCATAAAGTGATTTAGCTATCTTATATTTTATTTGCTTTGCTTTTTTGACATTACGTTGATAAATTGTTATTTCTGATATTTACAATTATAAGTTTCCTTGATAGTTTTATAAATCTTTCATTTTTAAATGATACTTTGTTTCCCTTACAACTGCCATTGATTTTTGTCTATGTATTCTGCCAGTTTATTCTTTTCTTTTGGATTGTATTCTCTATGCTAAATGCTCCATTTTATACCGTCACCAGTATTATTACTACTTCTACTATTCTGGTATTTATCATAATAATTTCATCTCATTGTGTTAATATGATGTGGAAACTGGTTTTACTTTGTTTTTGATAAACCAAATGACTCTTAATAATTATCTTCCTCAAACAATTACGTTTGTTAATAGAAAGTAGCTAATTAGCAATAAATAAAATATATATGTTGCTATTATTTAGTTATATATGTAATCAAAACATAACTCACCTTCAGCGTTACCTCTAGGTGGGTAAGGGCGGTGCACATCAATCTTATTTTACTAATTCAAAAATGGTAAATCGGTTACCGAGACTGTTAACCTCCACTCACTGATTTGGTTGACACGCGTTACGTATAACACCTACTTAGCTGTCATTTAGCCCAACGCATAATGTGACTAACACTAAATCGGTAAAAGAAGATAATGGCTGACCAGATGGAGATGTGGCATCAATTCATGGAATCACTGACTTTCTGTTTTAGCTGTTTGGTAATATGTTAATTTCATGTTGGAAACGCTAACTGGTGTAATATGACATTCATAATCGCATTCCTCCTGGAGCCTCTATTGGGCTACTGCCGGTCTCAAGCCCGGATAAAGGAAGAAGGTTGGGCATGGGGTTAATGGTTCCATCTCGTAGAAATCTAACCCGCTAAAAAACATTAACCAGTAAAAATAATTCAGACCATTTAAACTCTACCCTGGGAGTTAGAAGGTCTTCATTTAGGAGAGTTATGATGCCTCATAGTGAAAGCCGAGTTCCTTCGGAATTCAGGAAAGACTGATTCCCCTACTGACAACTAGAGCAATCATTATTTTAAGTACATGGAATGCTCGTACAATGTGGGGGGCCGATAGTCATCCAAATTGCTGCAGAAACGGGACAGAGTGGGTTAGAGAATAGTGGTCGGTGGGAGTAACAGGCGTAATTAAGTTGCATTGACCCTTTGTTTTTTTATTCTTGACTCCAGACCCATCTTTTTTCCGCCCTATTTCCATCATCTTCATGAAATCACAAACACTTGGTGGTACTGTGTATTCGCTGAACTAAATATTTTAGTCACCGATCTTTCATTTCCATTCTGGACAACACCATTAGCGTTTATTTTGTATCGAAATGAGTATTACATCACTTCGTCCCCATGGTTTTTATTGTTTCCATTATATTCATGTTGATTATCTTTGTCGGTCGATCTCTTACCTTGTGATTAATTGCACCCTTCCCTATGAGTCCATTGATTAAGTCTCCATAGACGAGGAAGACAACGTATCACAAACAAGGTCATGAGAACAAAGTGATATATATATATAATAAACATATGTTAACTGCTGAAATGATAAACCGTGCTTTGTTGTTTATAACCTCTTTTAGAATTCAGTTGATAAATCCAAAAATTCATTCACACACAACATCCATCCTTCAACTGATTTTCAATCAAATCAAATAGATTCATTGAGGCATTTTCAGTCATCAACGAATATGACAGTGAAATGTCACAGTTTTGAGCTCAATTTACGCTTTCCTATTCCTATAGAAGCAATAAAAACGGTAAGTTTAATTTAATTTGTATATGATGCAGAGTAATAATTAGGCTGTTATTCGTTCAATTCCTGTTTGTAATTATGCTAATGAATAAAAAGACAAACAATCAGTTAAAAGATCTCCACTTAACAAATACACCAGTTATGATTGTTGTACTTCACGACAATACGAATATAATCAAATCAATATGATAATCTAAAAATGAACATGTTTTACAAGCTTCCCTATCTGTTATTCTTTAGCCAATGTCCTTCAGCTTGGCTTAATTCAATCCATATATAACAATCCGAGAAAAGGATATATACAAGATATTAGACACAAATGAATTGCATAGAATAGAAATGATATACGTTTATATAAAAGTTATGTAGCAGTGTTTCAGTGTGTACAAAATTAACTAATAGAACAATTCTAGTATGTAGAGAGTTTCATTTACCCGTTCAGTGTAAAGACAAATCAATGTGTACAAATCATTCTCTTAATGTCAGGTAAATTTAAATGTTTAATATTCATTCCTATGCAATTGATCTTCTTAATAGCTTGATTCGAAGTGGTATGGGAAAATAAATAGCAGTCAGATTTTCCAGATATTCATTTATCTAAAAAATTTGTTTATCTATGTCAGGGTCAGCTTTTGATTACTTCACCTGAAGTTTTTAATAATTCATGTCTATAATCTTTACTATGGTTGAACTGGTGAATACTGTTGATGCAGTGAAACGTATACTTCATTTTCCAATTGAATCCCATCACTTTAAAGTTAACGTTTACAATCAAAACATATGATAATTTGTTTTCTGTGAAATAACTCGATAAACATTATTCCATCCTTTTATCATGAAAATCCATAATAACTTGTAAGACTTGAACCATAAATTAAATTCATAATAATTCTACTGGTTTTAAGGATAAGGATAATTTTTAACGTTTAGTGATGATGTTTTTACTTCAGCAATCCAAATAATCCATTTAATATATGTACTTTGTCTAGTAGTGTTGTTAAGTCCCATGCAACAAATGTCGAATCTTCTGTTGACTATCGATTTCTGTTGTTAGTAATCAGTGCAATTCTACCTTACATTAAAGAATGAAACTTACCTCTTTTTTCGTTTTTTTTCTTTGGTCCTTTAGTGTCCCACTTTTTTTCTCAACTTCTTGATATTCTCTTGTCACTTGTTGTCTAGTCAGTAAGTTGCTCTGTGAAATACCGAGTAAACTTTCAACCAACTTTCCAAACCGTAGTCACCACTTTTGAGTGGGGCAGAAGTAAGATATTCCTAGTGATAAATAACATCTCTACCGGTGGTCTTTCAAAATTTACCTAAAAGGATTATAAAAGCTTTTCTATAAAAATGTTGATCGTTTCCACGGCTCTATGAAACTTCTTCTATTGGTGGTGTTGTTTAAAATTGCAAATTTATTACTTTAAAATCGACAACTCATGTAATCCGAAATACTGTCTATGATCTATTTGTTGAAGAGTTGTCCTTTTTGCTTTATGGTTTCATTCTTTAGTGTATTGATGAAATCTACAGCTATAATCTAGCTTATTTTTTCAGGTTTTTGATGAAAAAGGTTTTTTCTGTAATGCGGAGGGTTAAAAAAGTATTAATTGATCCCTCAGACCTCTCACAACATTCAAGTCCAATCCGATTCCATTTATTTACCATCATATTTCTTTTTGAATGATGATTTTCCTTTCATTTAGTATTTTATAACTGACTATCGCTAATATTCGAGATTGCTGATTAATCAGTCTCTTTTGCCATGTATATTGTCTACGCTGATTATTCTGACATAGTATTGTGCTAACTAGTATTTTGCTATAAGTGAAATGGAGAACGTATGTTTCGTCCTACCTAGGACTTGTCATTTGAATTTTTCGTATCTCACTGTTATCATTAAGAAGTTATATTTTCTTCGGAAACTAATGATATTTTAATGTGTTCGATTGTTATGTATCACTTATCACTATTCGAACTATCAAATGAAATATCATTAGCTTTATCACAATATTATATGCTATGGGTCATCGGCTTAGTGTTTAAATTTGTTTTTGGTTGGATTGTATCATATTTATTATTTTCATTATTATTAGTACTATCATACAAATATCTTCGTGTTTTCTAATTGTATTAGAATCAACATAAAGCTGAACTCAGTATAAAATTAAATGCATCGATTGTTTACAGCTAACGTTATGATATATAGATAGATAGATAGATAATACCCCGTAATCACGACATTAATTTATATGGTCTTTGTAGTATGTAACAATGTTTTGTTTTACTTAACTATAAATGTAATAAGAAGTGACTTAATTAATCAAATAAAATTATAGTTTGACACTCCAGAACATATAATCATATTTATGTTACTGGCCTGTCAATTTGATATTATGTACGTAACGCAATTACTTCTTTATAAAAAAATTCGTAGCTTCGATTTTTGTAGCAATTCTTTATATTTCTTTTACATGGGATAATTGTTAACTAATCATCAAGTATGAATAAAACTAGTGTAAAAATGTGTCTTTCTGTATTACTTTGACTTATTTCTGGAATCAAATAAATCCATATCAACATTCTTTGTGTTTTCACTATGCGTCTTCTTATTTGGGGTTCCCAGCACCAAGTACAAGTCATTTAAGGATTCATGAGACATAACAGTTTACATATTGAATGACATGTTTACCTTGGGAATCCCTCATTAAGTTTTAGCGCTATTTCTGTAAACATATCAATAACTTATTTTCTTGCACACAGTTCACTTTTTTGCGTATTTTCTTAAAAATAGACCTCTGGTCAAAAAATTGCAGAAATCCGTTCAAAATTATGGGGTGCCGGGACAGTATACAACTCGAATCAATCAAATTCTGTACAAAGTATATCATGGTGGGCTAGGACAGTTCGTAAAGAATATCTTTCTATATTTATGAAAAAAATTCGTCTAAATTTTGATAATTCCAAAGAGTCATCCCCGAAATTACAACCATTTGGTAGACCAAACGATCATTTACAAAATGTTACAAAATCTAAAATTTCTTCTTTTAAAAATGGAAAGCATAACGGAAATGAACAGGAACTAGAACTAATTATAGGATCCATATCAGGTGAATAGGAATTTATTTTGCAATAACTTTAATCGCATTTGGCATTAAGATGTTTCCGGTTACTTAGCAATATTATGTGATTTTGAGCGGCTTTCTATTCAAACGCAATATTGGAAATTGTTAAACCTCAGGTTGGTTAAGCCTTAAGTACTAATAAACTCTATTATTGAATTAGTTAAAGGGTCATACGAGAAGGAGTTGAAAGAATTTTCTTTAGATTGACATTTTAATCATCAACTGATCAAAATCTTATGTAAAAATTTGATATGAAATAAACAATATTACTTGTTTGTTGTTGTTAGAATGATAATAATACTAATAAAAACGGTAGTTTGTAGGTTATATTTTTCACACATTGATCTCAATTCGAGCACCTGACAACTGTTTCGTCTCAGTATGATACTTCTTAACCATGCGTACTTATGACCTCATCAGGGACCAAACTTCATAACCTTCAGGTTTTTGCATAGAACATCCAACCATTAGAAACACTAAGTTGGTGTCCAGTAATAAAACCCTAACTTCAATTCAGGATGTGGTATGGCGATCATCCAATGGAGTTGATGACGGTTGCTACACTCCTGGTTTCTCACTAAAACTCCAAGTACATGCTGAATTAAGGCTTTTTAAGTATAAATAGGCTATCTTTGAAATCTTATCGTGAATTGATTGCTTCCGTACTGGCGTAGTTGAGAAATTAACGTGGAAGTTAGCAGAACTAAACGTCGTTTTCATGTATCCATTCAGTGAACCTGTGAAAATATCACTCGCTATGTTACCTTTGAAATCAAGTCTTCATATATGTACTTCTTTATGAATTTAATAGAGTATAAATCTGTTAACTATTATCAACACTCATTTCACTAACGGTTTATACAGACAATCGATAAAAAATGTCTTGTGACGTTTATTGCTTTCACTTTTAAATATATTAGCACTAACATTTGCACACATATCTGAACTTAATCATTACATTGTCCGACTTTCAAATCATGTTTAAAAGAACAAGTCTTGGATTTAAAATAATTAGATTACTTTGATCTGCCCAATAGTTGTTTTCTTCTTTCACTGAGATCAGTAAATTAAACAGTTCGGATATAGAGGTTTATAAAAATAAATTGATTAAAACAAGCGACAAATCAAGAAGTTGCAAGTTAAACATCACATCTTTTTTTTCCTATTTCACTCCTTAAAATAGACAATAGAGTTGTACTTGATTAGTTTCTTTTCTCTTATCATAAATTCTTAAAAATATCAAGCAAGAAATAGATTTTCTAAATTTCAAACTCAAGTATTTTGCATCTCTGCTCTATCACAGATCATAATTCTTGTTCACAAATACCTCTCTTTATGTTTCTTTTAATATAATTCTTTTTTTATGTGAAGTACATTTGGCTAATGATGATCTAAACATACAATCAATGCCTATCGTATATTTCACAACAAAAATGAATCCTATTCCTGAACCAATCAAGTAAGTGTAATGTATATATATATAATCCTAAAAATATATCATTACTTTTCCAGTCACGTTTTATAATAAACACGTTATGATTCTACTTTTGATGAAGATAATGATTTATAAAAGTTGGTTGAGATTGTGCGCCTTTTAAACACCGGTTCTGTGCTTTTAGCGTCTAAGCTCTGACCATGGTACCTGAAAGTCATGAATCTTAGGTTCGTATTACTGAAGAGTTATATTGTTAAACGAATTATCTCTCCAGTACTTCTAGGTTTTCAACGATACCTTATTTAAAGTTGATAGATGACAAATACCACCCATAAATTAAAACAATGTCTACAAAGCTACTTCATCTCATTACTTTTAATACTTTTATGTGATTAATAAGAACGTTTGTCTAAATCTGATCAAATAGTTTCACAGTATTTGAGCGCCGAATTGATATGAAACGTTGGATTTACATCAAATTCATTCTCTTGAGATTTTAAAAGTACATTCTTTCTCTTTCATGTTTTATGTGATTAGTTTTCATTGTAGATTCATTAAACTTAATTTTCTTAGAGCTTATAATTATTAGGCGAATCTTTTGAAAAATAGTTTGAAATGTGCAGTGGATATATATATTTCCCAATTACAACAAGTGTAATTGTCATCATCTTTAATTGGAGATCTTAACTGATATTATTTGAATTCGATAAAAAAGCCTTAGTTGATATTCATGATTCATATACCTTGAAATTTTGAGCTTTGTATTATTTGTATTATTCTTTAATCTTATTTATTTTTTGTTTAAAGTATAATTCTTATTTACTTGAAATGAAATCGCATTATATTCAAAACATTCATTCTTATTAGATTCTACAGTTAAAGCTTCAAATTATTTTTGGTTAAAGGAATAAATAATTTTGTTGGCAAAAACACTTTTAATATTGGAATTGTAAGGAATATTTAAATGAATACACATAAATAACGTGGAATAAGAGAGTTTATCTTATTTAAACATATAATGATTGATATAATGAGGCTCCGAATATGTATGCTCCACACTTCATCATTCGATTTGTTTGCGTATGAGGGCTGGGATACTGCCTGGGTGTTCAAACCGAAGCAGGTGGTTTTTTAGAGGGCCACTCCCCGGGTCTTTGACCTAGAGGTCCAATTCACAATACAGTCTAAAATTAACTTTAATGGAACTGTTGGTTTATGTACTTTAATGAAATCTTCAAAGCATTGATGCATAAACTGGCTTCACTCTCTCCTTCTTTGAAGACATTTGATTGTTGGTGAATCTGATTGATGTTCATTACTTTTGTGTAAACAATGATTTTCAGCTGTCTAAGAAATATTCCAAAGTTTTGTTTTCCTTTTCTTCTTGGAAATTATGGAGTAATTCCAAGGTATCTACTGATGTCATAACAATACTAATAACTTCACATGAACATCCGTAGATTTCGATCTTCAGTTACCAAAATTTGTCAGCATCGTCAAATGAATTTTTTGTGTTTACTGTTTGTAACTTAATAAATTTGTCTGATTGAATATATTTTTTGCATTACGTTACTAGTTCATTGTATTTTGAAGTAAATATTGATTATAGAATATTTGAGTAGTACTTCATCATATAAATAATTATATAGTATTCAATTTGACTTTCAGAGTGTATATACGCATATCTCCCAGTGGACAAACTGATCTTGTCGAGTGTGTAAATGAAAATCCAATGAATAAAGATTTTGATGAACAGACAACAACTAGAGAACAACCTGCTCAATTTGAAGTAGGCGTTGATCTAACAACATTTAATGAGTATATTTCATCATCTGATCAATTTTATGATTCAAATAGATCTAATCATGATCATTCTGTTGAATGGTCATTATGGAATCAAGCTAATCCTAAGCAAAATTGTTTTATTCCTTTAGTAGTCAGAAAGAACTTTGCTCAAGATGCACCAAAACCTCATTCTAAACAGGTTAGTAATTTCTAGTCTCGTATTAATTACTAATGCAATAAAAATGTTTACATGTGTTATTCATTTCATAAACCGGTTACTATCAGGAAAATGTTTTGAGAATGAGGTGGTTATCTGTCTGTTCAACAATAGATTACCTTAATATTGTTTAGATTATTCGTAAAAGTTTAAAATTTATCAAATATTTAAGAATATTTACTTCTACATAACTATTTTTATGACAAAAATTACTTGTGAAGTTACTTGATTTCAACTCTATTTAATTCGTCGTTTTTTAAACATGTATCTAAAATGTACTGCAGTAAATTTTTGATTTCTCCATACCGTACGATTTACATGCTCCACCAAGTCATAAAACTATATCATTTGATAACCACTTTTACTCTGTCCTGTCAAACAGATAAAAGTTCTTGCAGAAATACGGTTTTCATTACTGATTGGTCATTTTCTGACTCTAACTTTGAATATGTGATAGTCAATCAACGATTCTAAACTGAGAACTCATGGATACATGTACAAATTATTAAAGGTATACGAATTGAAGTAAACATAAAATCACCCATATCATTATTTCTTTATCACTCGTCTATTAAGTGTCGACAAACATATAATTTTTGTTTAGTACTAAGTTTCGTCATGTGTGGTCTAAGTACCACAGCTATAAAAATAGTTGAAGCCTGTCCTTCATAAAATTTAATGAATTTAATGTGAATTTTTTTAAATACATTGAAAAAATTGGTAAATTTAGTGTGCTGTTAAAAAGATGAGGATATTTTGTCCAAATACTAATTTTATAATGTTTTTGAAACTTTCTAAACTATCTTGGTCACTTATTGCCCTAAATGTACCCATGTTTTATGTACCTATATTAATCTTGGTGGTAGAACGATTATAAATTTAGTGTACAACGTTTAAATACTAGACATGTCACTGAACAACATGATTTTAGATAAAACCCGCAACTGTTATATAGTTTTACCTGTAAAATATTGTGAATAATCCTTGAAAACTTATGTTGATCCTCCTATTATTTGACTGAATGGAATGACAAATGACCACTTCTATTTCTACCCATACGGATTTTCTCTTTCTGTTCTACGTGGTATAATGTTCCAACTTGTTTCGATACACTTCTGTGTGATTTAATGATTAGATATATTTATGTATTTCTCAAAACATCACTCATATGTTAAGTTGAAATATTGAGTTATGCTATTCTAGTTCTTTGTTTTCTTAGTCTACCTAAATAGAGTCTTGTTTATCTTGTTTTCACTGAACTAGTCAGACCTTGTTTTTTTTAATGTACTTCTCTCAGTGTTTTTATTTATTGTTTTTTCTTTATTTAGATAACTTATTACCCTGGTAATAAAGCTCATATGTTCGCCTATCGCCAGTCTGCTAGTATGCATACCCACTTATTTGTACACTTTAAAATACCTTTGGCAGAAATCACAATTGAACATAAACAAACAGTAGAACTACTTTGTTTACGGTTAGTTCAACTTCTAAATGTTTATGTTGAATTGATTCCTCGATAAATTTTTGTATGTTTATACGTACCGACAATAAAATGAGTTCATATTAGACTATAAGCAATGGAATTTATATCTTTTTTTCTAACTAAATTGAAGTGAGTTTGTCCATAGACCCTTAAGAATGCTTTGAATAATACGAATCTTGGAAACATTTAATAAAAAGTTAGTTAAATCTGAGACCATAGTTTTATAATGTGATAGCCAACAATTGTTTTTGCAGTGAGATATCTAGCTTAACGTATTTTGTTATACAATTTTTAGAAAACTATATTTACATCATATTAAAAGTGTTTTTTATCTCTGTATAGACGTTAACACTTAGTTATTTCTAGTTGAATAGTCCGTTACTTTGGAATTCTCCTCTAAAAATGATGTAAACAATCAAGTGATTTTAGAAATCGAAGCGAATTGTTAATTTTCCACTGGTTCAATGTTGAAACATTTAATTATCCAGTATATTAGCAACCGTGTTGGATGTAGGGCAGTTACCCACTAAAGACAATAGAAGATGGCCAATCAATATCGTGGATTGGTTAAAGTTAGACACTGACACAATAAGATGCCGGCTCAGTAGTCTAGAGTTTGAGCGTTGGTGTGCGAATCCAAAGGTCTTGGGTTCGGGTCTCATGTACAGGATCGTGGATGCGCACTGCTGAAAAGTCCCATACTAAAACGAAACGGCAATCCATTGCTTCCGGGTTTTTAATGATGGTCTGACATTGATAGGTTCATCATCTCAATTAAAACTAAATAATCTCCACAACCCTGTACTGATATTAGCAATATGTTGAGTCATTAACTGATTACTATTTCCAGGAAAGATATTAAATTAATTCATCACCATTTATATGGTATAATTTTATAGTTGACAGTAAAACCTATGTACTATCTTAGAGAAATAACATGGAACTAATTGAAATGAAGTATTTTTTTCGTTCAACATGTATTTCTAAATCTGAATTTGACTGTAAATTCTCAAAATATCTTATTGTATTGTTGTATATTAATATTAATCTTTAAGAAATATGAGATGTTGATTAAATAAAGATTTTACTATCAAGTTGTTGTTGTTGTCATGAAGTTAATATATTCCAAAAAAAATGAACTTTTTATCAAGATAATCATAATAAAAATCCTTCTAAATCTGTTGGCTGTTTTCAAGTTTTTCTTTTAACGTTGACAATCCATAAAACATTTCTTTACTTTAACTTTTGTATAAACATTGTTTTTTGGGTTCAGTCATTTTTATGTGATCAGATTGTTTATTACTTTCAGTTAATCTTCAAATATATATTTATTTGATAAAAGTTATTGACATTTACTTCTTCATATCTCATATGTATTAAGTATTTTTCTATACATTTTACAGATTAATGTATGATCTTTTATTATGGCAATCATTATTACCTAATGATCGTCGCCTACGTGCAACATTAAAACGTCCAAATCATACTTGTCCAACAGTAGATAATGTGACAAATTTACAATCGGATCATCGTTATTGGTTTTTAAGTGATCCTGCTCCTTTAGCCACTATCTATGCTCATCCAGATGCTGCACGAGCAGCCGCTGAACTTGAAGCAATATCACCAATTGGTCATTATAATGTAAATCATCATCCAAGCGGTCTACATTATCATTCAGTTAAAAGTGATGAAGAAGAGGATAGTGATTATGCTGAAAATGATTTAAACGAATTATATAGTAATACTTTTAATATCAAAGACAATACTGTTAGCAGTCATTACACAAAATATAACAAAGAGAATGTAAACCGTTGTAATAGTAAAATCTCTTGGTCAAATGATTTACGGAAAAATGTTAACAGTGAGTCATTTTAGTGGTCGTGCCTTAAACTGCAAATGTTTAATTTATCAATGTTTACTCATTGTGCAAACTATTCATACAATCACATTTCTATCAACTGTCTATTTATAAATATTGTTTAATGATTTTTCTCAGTCCACTGTAACATAGGTTTATATGCTAAATTTCTATACTTGAATGTTCTGATTGACTGGAATCAAATACTGTGGCCTATAAGGTGTTTAGTCTTGTATTGGTTGGATTCAGTACGATGATTATATTTAAAGGATCATTGGTTACTCTGTATTCTTCATCTGATATTTTCTAAGTTGCTCTAACTTGGCTGAATGCTCTGTATAGAAATGATAACTTCAATACCAGTTGTTTAGTTTTCTAGTACCTTTTCTGTCAAGGTTTCATGGATCAGTTCTTTGAGCAGTTATTAGTTTGATCACCTCAATTACTAGTAGTTTGTCAGGTCACTTTTTTAATGGGATAATTTATCTCACCTTCCTCAGTCGGTAAAAAGGTTTTACCCTTTAAGTATCACCGCAATCGTCTACTTTTAAGACGCTTTCATGGAATGCATCAATCCATCTTCTTCATACCCGCGATACTTCATGGCTTCGAATGGCTTCTTTGTTTTACTAAAACACACTCTAGTCACTCTACTATTGATTTTCATTTGGACTGTTACAATGGGCTAACGAATTCTGTAAATTAAGCTGTTAACTAGCTACATCTCTTTTCAGTCTAAAATTTGGTTACTTAACACAACATTGATTACTTATTAATTAAATTTGCCAGTGTTTATCACACAATCCATTTTTCTTCGCCCAAAATTTATCACTCCCTAATTATTGAGCTGTTATTGTTATATTCTTCTTAACTAATTACAATCTGTAACTTATTAAGTAACATCTCGTAAGGACTCGATCCTATTATATTCATAATGTTATGGTATAGTTGCTTCGTTTTTCATAGTTGTAAAGTCTAATTATTAATAATCCATTAATAATTTTATTTGTATATCAATATGTTTAAAATTGGTAAGTAATTGTTATTCTGAGTTGAGTTTTTTTCGATAATAAATTCTGGAAATAATCAAAATAGATCTGTCAGCGTATTTACCTTTATTTGTTTCTATTCTATGCCTACAGATAGGAATGATATAAATTTAAATCAACACTCCTTGTTGCATAAAAACCGTCAACGTTGTACTGGTGATCATCGTACTAATAATAACACTACTTACAGTGCAGATCATAAAGTAGTAGGACCATTAACGAATACTTCTGTTCAATTTCAATCCTCTATTTGTTTGCAATTAGATATAAATTCCTTACAATTTACAACATTCCTTCCTGAATCATCATCATCATCTGTGGGAGGAATTCGACTGACTGAAAAAGTGATTATAAATGCCTCTAATACTACATTATTTACTGAGCTTTCGCATAATTCTAATCCGAATTTAAATTATGTTGAAATGGAAGTTGGTGAATTCGATATATCTTATAGTTGTAAGTATCGTATTTGTAACATATTTTCACATTATTCCACTGGTTATTGTTTTTTGGTGTTTGTTTGCTTAGAGTTAGACTAATGCACGTTACTTTCACATGCAGCATTATTTCAACAAAATGTTATCAAAATATTAAAACACTATTCAATAACAATCAATCCATGATAGTCCTGAATTGGTTAACAAGAGCTAATTAACAACACAATCAAATAAGCAAAGTAACAGTTAAACTAGAATGAGCATATTCTACTCGTTATTACAAGAGTTTGGGCAGTGTATGTGTAGATTTTGTCCACGTATTAACAGTTCTTTTATTTGGAACCGAATTATTGTCCTTTCACTGTAAACTCCGTCCATCACTTCAAAATTATATCCAATCAACCACTGAGTTACAGGTTTGAACCCAATTGCTTTTAGTTCAGCATTTGGGTTGAATTAATCACCTACTTGTAAATGTAGTTACTTACTAAATTAAATCAATTCATATTATGTGGTCGTCCATAACGGATATTTTTATTACAACTTCCGGGGAGTTACATGAAAGTGTTTTACCAATGTTCATTAGTTATAAATTTTCAACTTGACTGAAATACTTGTAGTTATATTCATATTTAGTTCACTGTTTTATTACATTAAAGCTTCAATATTTTCAAAAGCTTTCGAGTTGTTTGTGTTTTAGTCTTATCATCAGTTTAAACACTTTCCACGCTGTTATTAAACCACTAGTGTGGTTTCTAATTGAGCGGTTATGTCATAGACATTTAGTTAGTAGTAATTGAGATCACACCCTGTTCTTACCTCGTTTTTTCAATACATATGTAGGTTATTGCCAAGTTTCGTAACTATATAATAGTTCATATTATTTTGACTTCATATCTTTGATTAAGCAACATTTCATATAACAATCAACGTACCTACGAATAGAACTCCCAACTGATCATTGGTAATTTGTAATTTTTTTCGACTATCGAAACATTTGCAACTTTCAGATTAAAATGAGACGGATTAATTTCATTCCTTCACTTGACAAGAAGTGGTTAATATAAGTCTATGAGTGACCAAACGATAACATGACATCAGACTGTGAAACTCTCGTTGAAGCCCACGAAACAACTATAAACCATTAATTGGTATAAGAATCGGTGTTCTCCCCTAAGATGTATTCAGCTCTATTATCCTCACCGTTACACTAACAATCATAGACACGTTTGTATATTTTCATGGTTGTAAGCTTCCTCTTTGGTTTTCGTACTAGCCCCATAACCTGACATGTTACTATCTTCAACTCGTTTTGTTCTAAGTAATCTTGTCTTTTAAAACGTAACCAGCGTATTCAATGGTTTTTTTAATGTTGTTCGAAATCCTCTAGGTAGTCAAAATCCGAATTCTGATAATCATAGTTCTGCTGATAACGCTCACCCATCATCATCAGATTCGCCTGCTAGTTTATGGCCAGTTTTAATTCATCTTTCATGGGATTCTATTGGCTATCCATATGGTTCAACACTTCATCAAGTTGGTGTATCTACCGCGAATTCATCGAACGAACCAACTTTTAGCATGGCTTTAGAACATAGACAAATTCATCGTTTATCCGATTCAGGTATAAAACTTGGGGAATTTTGTATCTTTTATTTAATTAACTATCATGTGCACCGTCAGGACTAATTTCCAAAACCTTTTTTAGAAGCACTGTAATTATTACATCCTTGAACTTTTGACAGTATTTCACGATGAAGAAACCCCACTAAGCTCTTATCTTGACATTAATAATCAGGTACTCATTAGTGATTTTGAGAATTTCGAAAGTTCTGGTAAGAAGCTGTAATCAACAATATTTAATCATCTGTGGCAAAATATGGTGATTTTTCAATATTGCTAATTAATTGAAGTTAAAATTGCACATCACTGACCACTAACTTAACGTTCAAAATGTAAAGTCTCTGCTACTTGATATGAACTTTCTAAATCCGATCCCTGATGTGGTCTTAGGTGTGTGCTGCTAAAAACTCCCAAATTAGAACGAAACAGTTACTTAGCTAAAATTAACAGTCCTCATCTGTTGTATTTGAAAATAATTAGCTAAATAACTATTCCAACTCATTTGATGATTGATTGTTCTAACTACTACAAAAGTCAACCTTAGAATCTTATCCAATATGATTTTTTCTAAATACACATTATAACTTTACATATCATTCTTTTCTTGTTCTAATTTCCCAAACTTACCATTTTGCTAATATTGATAAAATGTTAATCAATAACTATGTGAAACTACTTCTGTGATTTGCTCGTTGTCACATCATATTGTACTGAACGTTTTCATACACCCGAAAGTGTTGTTCACGATTTATCACCATTTTTTTTTCAAAATGAATATATGCTACCATAGTCCTTGCTGACATTAAATAATACACACAGTGTTCATATCTCTAGATGAACTGATTAATGTAGTTTAGTAAATTGTCTGACGTGATAATCTTCAAAAATTTCGAAGCTACTTGAGATTACCTGTCTTTTATTAACAGTTACCTTTTATATACTAATGAGCTAATTCAACTTTAGTATCCACTACAATGGTACAAATAGATAAACATAAACGTGATATATATATATATATATATATATATATATATATATATATATATATATATATATATATATAATCATTTCTTTTCCTCTTTTTATCAAGGTAATTCAACGTACGATGATGAATTCATTTTGACTCTTCGAATTCAAGAGGTTTGTTTTGTTTATTGGCCACTATTCAGTTTAAATAATCGTTGGGATATTTATTCAAATATTGGCAATCCCAATTTAACAACTCCAGTCAATTCTTCAAATTCTACTACTACCACTACAAATACTAACAATAATTTTAATTATTTAACAGGTTTACCGAATTGGTTTATTCGCTTTTGTAGTTTATATCAAACTCCTAATTTATCATTCATTACAGAAGAATATCCGAGTTATTATGCACCAGCTTGTCTATTCTCTCAACATTTACACTTTGAACATTTAACGGCTACATTTTCAATGCCTTACCCAGAATATTTTATCTTGTCAACAAATAAACCGACTTCTGTAAATTATCAAATGCCTATTTTACATTTTATGATTGGCTGTGAATCAACTAGTATTACTGTAAATACAGCTATGGAAATGTTGACAATCTGTTCATCAATAAATAATGATAATAATAATCAAGTCGATATGCAACCTGGAATGTTAGTTATGGCATTTATTAATAATCTGGCCATATTTATATTCCCTTTTAAATTTAATGTAAGTTGTTAAATTTTTTTTTCAAATTAAAAATAATAAATAAACAAACTATTTTCTGTTTAATACAAAATTACATTAGTAGTAAATGGTAAAGTTTATGATTGATAAGAAGTGACTATCAATTAGGATAAAATCAAATATGTTTATATTTTAAATTTTTATCCATGCTCTTTGAATTATTTTGTTTCGTTACAAACGACATAGAATGTCCTACTATTTTCTTTTTCACTAGAATTCTAGATTAGTTACAAATATAAACAAACACATATTTTTTTTTAACTGATAATGATTCTACATAGTTTTAAACTAAATATCATCTTTTACTTCATGGAATCCAATGAGATATCAGGTATTGCATGAGTGTAATCAATTGTATTTAACCCATCACGATAATCTTAAATAGATATATCCACTCAAAACATCATAAATGAGTGAATTGATTCGAATAACCCTACTGTTTATAAGTAATATTTCTAAGGCCCCTATCATTCAATCAGTAATTTATCTTGTTTTCCACTTGATCTTATATTAAGTCTTCTATTTAATTTGTCATTCATTTAAGCCAAATTTAAGTTAATGAATATATCAATGAGAACAAAATTAACCGTTTATCTGCATATTTATCTGCATAAATTCTCACAAAACGATCCATTTTTAAAAGTTGTACAGTTGACTATAATTGTAAAACCAATCACTAAGCTGATATTCTTTCTTTAAACTCAATTTCGTAGGTAAATTTACATGTCTATTGAAACTTTTAACACCTCAGGAATTGTGTAAACGAATAAAGTGAACTAAATGACTACTTTCATCCAACACTATTCATATATTGTATTTTAGTATTTCACATCCATTCATTGCTTAATAAAACAATGAATAACACCTTTCTGAAGAAAAATAATAGAATATCATCATTATTTTGCTATTCTAACATTTTTTTTCTTAACTTCAGTCAATCAATCCAAATTCATTGAATCCTCGGTTATGTGATATCAATTCTTCTCATCCATTATTAATTAATTTTCGTCATTGGCTTAGTACATTCGATTTGAATAAAGCTGTTTGTATAGCAAGCCTAGATCATTTGGAATTAAAATGTTTTTCTGAGCCAATTATTATACCAAATACAACTGTAAGTTTATTTAATAGATTTCGATCCAGTTATGTTATTAAATCACTTTGGGGGGGTTGCATGAATTAGGAGAATTATTTAGTAAATTTCTGTTTTATATATAATTTGTTAATATTTCCATAACGATTTGTTTTTCATTTTGTTCTTCAAGACATGGCATTTGAGTGTTAATTAATTGTCGAATTTTGTACTCAACGGAATAGAGATCAAACGCTAGTATTACTGCCTAGCTGCTGAAACTGAATTAAATAGAAATGAATTCAAACATCCAAACTACTTTTTGAATGACGAGTAGATTCATCGCTTTACACATTCAGTATATGATAATTAAATTAAAGATTAGCACTTTTACAAATAAGCGTATTATTCCAAAAGGATTCGCAATACACGACACATTCTTTTAGATAGTTCATAATTTATCTTGAATACTAGATAATAATTATAAGAATACTATATTTCAAAATACAAAGTTGTAGGTATGAGGAAAGAAAGGAATTCATTCAGTGGAAATCAAGGATGTAAATTATTCAACTGAAGAAAAACGTCATCAATAGCGACTAAAAACAATTCATTTAACCTACCTTGAATTCAGTCATCTGAACATAGAATTAATGATTGGAAAGCGAATACCTTGTTTACTTGTTGTTCTGACATTACATTTGTTTTATTTACTTGGTAAAGGTAATTTTAAAAAGAATTAGATGTAATAATATACCAAAAATAGTCAATAATTGCCATACAGCACTAATTCACAACTGAATAGCTAGAAATAATAACTCATATTGTGTTTTTATACGTGAAAAATTAATTTTCATAGTGTTAACGAGATACAGTCGTCATAAAAGTAAGTTTTACAATATAGTAAACTCATTTTCGATCAAGAAATCTCAATTTTTTGTTTTTCTTTCTTGTGACTATGCTAGTAGACTAAAACCTGTAGGATGATAAGTTGATCCTCATTGGATAATGAAACTATCGATGCATCAAATTGTTCTTATGACCGAATTTGCGTTAACATCGATGGAAAATATTTAAAAAATGATCTCAGAAACTGACTAAAATAGGTTTTTCAACTACTGTTTTTTTTTCAACAATATGAAACAGTTATAGATTTGATAAAAACATAAAATGTATTTGTCATATGTCATTGTATAACAATAGTATGTATGGCTGTTGAATGTGATGTGTTGGCGGTAATGTTTACCTATTTCAGAGTTTTTGTTATCATGAGTTTGTATTAAAATTCAGAATTTGATAACTGTGAAATTATGCCTACTTTAAGAATTCCATAGTGTTACTAAAAATGACAGTGTACGTGGTATATGGTTTGTTAAAAAATTCTTTTTCTACTGGCTTTTTTTAAATGCCATTCTCCCCATAATTCTGTAAGTTACTCTCCATCCATCTTTTAGAACGTTCAAAGAATAGTAAGTGTTTGTAAGTTGTTCCTAAATAGCATTTTCAAAAGTCTGGCGATTATGATTGAAATTATTTCTGTATGTTTACTACCTCTAGTAATTACTGTTACCGGATTTACGTGATGTTGTATAGAAAATTTTGTCATGTACAAAGTAGTTGTATTGTTTTTGAATTTATAACAGTCCATATACTTTATTTATTAAATTGGTGCTTAGTTTTTATGCCATATTATCCTATCCTGTGTCTATCTAAAGAGCAGTTCTATTATTACAAAATACATGTAAATTAATTATAAACTCCGAACTCATGAAGTATCTGTAGAAGTTAACAGAGATTTACGTGCGAAAGGGAATTTTTCTTGCATTAGTTGTATAAAGAGTAATTACAGCATATGATAGCGTAAATGACCGCTGTTAGCTGCGTCTAAAGTCAACTCTAACCATCAGTAATTGAACGGAGACTAAGAGCACAAAAATATGGAAGTTGTTGCGTTTAAAGCAAGATATAAAAACTGCATATAAGCTAAAACCAATTGTTACAAAAGTTACAAAAACTTAACCGCAACAATGGATGAACTGAACATTATTAGTTCATGTAAATACACGACAATATTACAAGAAATCTTCTAAAGTTATTGAGACAGTTTACTCAATATTAATAAGTAGTATTGAGTAATACACAAGGAAGTTGAATAGGAGGAGATTAAGGGCAATGTGTAAAAGAACTTGACAATTATTTTGATGCTGCAATCAGTTAGTTTCCATTACCATATATACATCTGAAACAGACTTTCTCGTTATGTCCTTCTTTTCACAAATTTTATTAAATTTGAACTGTATCTAAACGTAAAATATCGAAGGAACATATGGTTCTATTTAAGACTCAGCTGGATGTTAACAAGCAAGTTAGCGGTTACCTGAATACATTAGTTATCGGGTTCAAATCTTAGTTGAAGCATTAGCATTTGGATCTAGTACACCCAATTTCACGAGTCCCAAATAGGACAATACGGGCATCGCAGATTTTACTGTGAGGCACTCATTTAAAATTTTAGAAACGCGTATATCTATTGCCAAATAACTACATCCTGCCTTCATATCACTATTGGAATAATTAACTCCATTTCTCTCCTCATTATGTTAATTTCCCCTTATTGTACTATTCCAGTGTAACAACTGGGACTACAATGTATTCATGTCAAGACTTTCATTGTCTATGACTAATTGATTCACAACATAAAATAAGTATATACTGATGTGGTTTTTTAAGTCTTCTAATTTGTTATTAATTATTTTTCAAAGAGTTTTCATCAATCAACTTATATCAGTTAAAAATAACTTATAATCATAGTATTTTTTGTCGATTTATTTCTCTTAATCATTTTAGGATAACAGTAATAGTAGTAGTCATATTCACCGTAGTAAGCCTTCATTTATCTGTCAAAATTCTTCAATCCCTACTATTACTAATCGATTCGATATGCGTATTACAAATAACCTGTTGAAAATTAACACATGTGCTGATATTTTGGTCATTTTACATAAATTCGTTGAATTACTAACAATATATGATATGAATAATTGTAATACAACTACTCCTTCACCAACAATGCATTCATCACCAATCCATGTAAAGAATACATCATCATTAAAACTAGATCCAACATTATGTCCACAATTTCATGCATCAAGTCCAATTCCATCTGGTTTAGTTTACTCGGTATGTTTCTCTTTTTTTCTACTTGCTATTTATAAATTTAATTTTTTGCCCAGTTCATCTAGTTAGTTTGTTGGATACTTAAAAGATCAAACTGTGACACTTAATTCTAAAGAATATCATCTGATTGATGACCAATAGTTTCTTATTTATTTATTCCTTGAAAAAAATGTTTGTCATAAGGTTATAAAGAGATTTTTTCTTAGATAAGGAGTGTTTTTAATAATATTATGGTATGGTTCAGTAATTTAAATACTTCCTTCTTTACTATTGCATCGTTAATTTGAACTTGTATTTCTCACTTATTTAACGTCATATCATATATTTTCACATAAATTATACGTTATTCATACCCTCTAGTATATAAATCTTTGTATAATGTTTTTTTTCCTTCGTTAGCCGTTCTTATTCAAATTCTAGGAGTCTTTATTTCAATCGTGAACTGTTCCCAAAAGTAATTCTGTCCAAAGTGTTAGTCATTAGCTGACACGTTTGTAACGAATATTTCATATAAAATAGAAATTAATTTTCAAAGTTGATCTAAACCAATTTCCTTAGTTGTATGAATTCGAATTTGTTAGACATACAAAGTATCGTACATTAGTCTTGGTAAATCACAATATACACACTATTTATGTAGTATCCAGTAGTGTTGAGAAAGAATTTCCAAATCATGAGGAAAATTCTTCTTGGTATCTATTCTGTTCAAAAATCTCACGAACTTTAAGTGTTTAAGAAATTGGGATCGCTTAGCGTTACACAACAATAAATTGAGTTAATTCGTTTCTGTCTTATTCATTTAAATGACTTCTTTGTATCAAGATAACTAATATCGTTTTAATCGTCATTTCGTAATATCAATGTTTTTTTTTCTAAGTAAACAGACACAATATTTATCAATTTGAGTTTTTGGATTTTTTTCATGTTTACTTACTAAACATTCGAATATGAGAGTGTTTGCTTACGAAATATAGTTTTAATAGAAGTTAAGAAATAGGATAAAAGTGTATTTTGTCGCCCCATAATGTTATTAAGAAGAAAAAAGGGATTGGAAGTAAAATCCCGTCCATCTACTCCTAGTAAGTTGTTTATCAGATTTGTTTCGACACTGATATCCCATAGAATACTATTCCAAACATAGATCCGCTTATCAAGTGTCTTTCTGATGAGACGACCCAGCTTTGTTACCAAAATAAAAAGTCAACAATACGTAGTATTGTAATTGGCACAGTAATAGAGAAGTTTGTAGTGATAAGTGAGAGCATGCTTTTATTGAACAAATAAAATGTTTGTATTTTATTTTGAATAGTGGATAATAGTGAAATTCAAGATAGAGGTTTTGTTTTAAAATTCGTCAAATGAGTTCTCTTTCATTTCAATGATGATCCATCTTGTGATTAAAAATCCAATGAATTATAAACCCTTGCAATAAGTTGTATATATGCTTGTGGTATTTTTAATATAATACGGTAATCTATGAATTATAATCGTTAAACGCGTGAAGTATCATTCATCAAAGTCTATTCTCATTTGCTGTCTTTATTTTAATAATACAACTATAAGTAATCTTACACCGATATATATAAAGTGATCGATTTGCGTTTTATATTACTGTCATTATTCTTTCAGAATCCTTTTCGAAATATACTCGATGATAATCAATGTAAGAGTGGTTCAGTTAGTAGCCTTGATCTTATACAAGATGCAATTTCTGATATAGATTCTGTGAGTGATCCATTTTCTGTTTTATTTTTGTTTTAGTTTTTCTCTCGGTCAACAATATTGTAGATCAGATTGTTACTGTTTTTTTATCAGAATAATCTTAAATATATATTTTTAAAATTAATTTCTCGTATCAAAATAATACATTTACAGATGAGAATTAAAATATTCACGTTCCATTTAATTCTCTGGTACGTTGAAATATCTGGCAGTTAAATTATTTTTGATCTAAGAATTGGTTATCACTATAGGTCTGAGTATTGTTTCTTCATTTAACTGTCATTTTGTTTAGTGTATATAGCTGTTTCATTTGGCTATGATTTATAATCCATGTACAGTCAGACAAAACTGTACGTTAGTTTAAGTTGTCATATCAAATTAGTAGGACATGATTAAAATAACAAGATAAGTGGTAAAAGACATCAATATAATCTAATAGCAATAATACTGAGGAAGATTGAGAATATAGTTCGAAAAGACGGAACGAGAAAGTTCATTTGGAAGCATACTAGAACTTAAGGTCTAATGAAATGTAAATAGTGGATGTACCTATATCATTCTGAGCTCTAACACTTGATTATTTATTGGTGATAAAGTATCTGTTTACTTTTGAGATAGCATCTGTAAAAATAGTTAGTGGAAAAAGTACAGACTATTAAATCAACCCATTTAATATTATGATAAGTATATATATATTCTGAAAATAATAATTACAGAACGCACAGCAGTTTACAGGCTTCATAAAGATAGTAATATTAAATGTATACGTATATGGAGGATCCACCTAGAGGAGTTGGATAACCCTGATTCCATACCAATGGTGCACATGTGCTCCAGGATCCTAAGGAAACAAATGGCATATGAACTCATTGTTGGTCACCGGCTACCGTCGGACTGCATCTCCTAACGTTGCTTCACTGCTATATAGATTAGACCTTCAGGTTAAAGACTCGGGAAGTGGCCCCCTAAGAAAACCACCTGCTTCTGTTTGGGTACCCGGGAGTATTCCAGCCCTCACAAAAACCGAATGGTTTGTGTGGCGCATATATATATATATATATATATATATATATATATATCTGGTGCGTCGTTGTACCAATGTTTATGTGTTGAAATAAATAGATAATGTGACATTAAGTTGTTTGATGTGACCTAGTTACCAAGGTCGGTGTTAGTGTAAAGTATCTGCAGGTAAGAAGGTTTAACTAGTGGGCTCAGTAATAAAATCGATTAAACACTTAAAAACTCTATGATCTTACTTGTGGAACGGAATATACTTACAAGCCCAGACACTTTTAAATCATTTTAAGCGGAGAAGTAAGCATTCATGCAGCGAAAAAATAGTTGAGAGTGATAATAACTTGACATTAATGTTTAGCAATTAATATGTGATATATATCATTGTAATTCCCTGACATACCATTTATAGCTCAGTCAGTCTGTAATAATGTAGAACTTCGTACGTACATCGGTTCGAGTCGCCATACCATATTACAACAGAGATGCAGTTGTCCATTCAAATCCCGTAGTGGTAGAGGTGGCGAGAGTATATGCAGTAATCGGAAATATTAGGGTTTGAATATGTTATTCAAGGAGTATAATACAGTGAAATAAATTTGGAAAGAGGAAAAAAGGCACATGAAGAATTCAGAAGGTTAGAATTCGGGAGAACACAAAAAGTGGATGCACCTGCGCTATTGCAAACGATTTTGAGCCATGTCATTCAGGGTCTCTAACCATCGGTTGCTATCATCTCGCGGTCCCCAACCAGGTAGTCTACACCTACCAACATGACTCAGTCCACTTGTCAGTGACTTCATGGACTTGTGCCATGTTTTGGTTTGGCCGCCCCTAGCTTTCTTCTAACCTACTCCTATACCACTGAACATAGCACGTCGAGGCAGTCGGTCGTTGGGCATACGTAACACGTGTCCCAGCCATCTCAACTGATGAAGTTTCACTACTTCATCAATTGATTTGCCATCCTTACCTAGTACCCGTTTCCTAACAACTGCATTACTTACTCGATAGTCCCAGGATATACGAGCAATATTTCGAAGACACCTATGATCAAATACTAGTAACCTACGGATATCCTCTACTCTTACCGGCCATGTTTCACTGCCATAAAGTAGGACGGAACGAACTGCTGCGCAGTAAACACGTCCTTTGGTTGATAGACGGATATCTCGCCTACGCCATAAATGACGCAAGTTGGCAAAAGCTAGTCGAGCCTTCTGTATCCGTGCTGAGATTTCGTCACACACCAGACCACAAGGGCTAATTATTGAGGATTTGGACAACACCTTGTTTTGCCACCCCTCAAAGATCTACGTTTATTTGTGCACATCTATTAACCTGTAATTATTTCATGATGACTAACGAAATATTTGAAGTGTTATATCTCTTTAATGGTATTTATGTTGTTATGTATACTCATCAGACTGAACAAAACATCTTTCCGATGTAATAATGGTATATTTTTCTCTTTTCAGGTTCATTCATCACCATTTAAAATTGGTAATGTAAAAAGATCATCTGCTGTGGATATTCCTTCAAATATCGTACAAACTTCCAGTAAAAACAATGAATCGTTAACAAGAAAAGTAGAGAAGAAATTAGCTATTAATACTTGTCCAACTCCCCAACCATGTCGTACTGTACATAGTAGTAGTAAAAGGAAATCGAATACTTCAATAAATAATGATATAAAATCATGTAGTTCTAGTCCTTGTCCCATTAATACTGCTAATGATACTACGTCTATGAATGATAAAAGTAAAAATCAACTATACTTAGATCTATCTGATCAATTGAAATCTATGTCAAATCGCTCACACAATTCTGGACCATCAAGTCTTTCTGATGATTTCGTTTTTATTGATCCATCCACTATTCCAGCATTGAATTATACAACACCAAAAGAAAAAATTCGTTACTTACTTCAACCAACTAAACAATCGTCGAGCCCCTCTATCACTACTAATGATCAAACTTCATCACCATTGATAAGTTTTGATATTCATGAAAATTTCTACTCTCCACCTAGCTCCACTACAAATTTTAAAAATTATCGTGCTAACCGATGGAATCGTTTATTCATTGATCCTGTTAAAATTTATCCACGTCCTTTATTAGCTATAACATTGTATGATTTTTCATGTGAATGGAATATATATGGTGGCAATGATTTGTTACCTACTTCGTCAGCAGCAACAACTCCATTGTTAGGTAAAAGAATCCTGTATTTTCTCTTATATATGAATATTTAGGTCGATTTGAACATGTTAATCTATTTTCAGATTATTAACATTAATGTATTTCAACGATGCTTATTTATGTAACCTATTCTAAACATATTAGTAAATAAACGATACTTTCTAAGGTTATTCATTATATTTGACTGCCACGGTACTCTAATTAAGGCAACGTGACAATTTATAATCTCTCTTTCTCTCATTTGCCAGTAGATACTTTTATATAACACTAGAAATCCTTTTTGTCCGTTTACAGGTTTATGTACTAGACTGTGTAAATATAACAATTATGCCAAAGTTTAATAGATTTTAATCTGTAACATAAACGTATCGCGAAATTAAAACAAGGATAGTTTTTTCTATAGACTGCTATACAAATCGAAGTAGAACTAGCTTAGATTTTACTCAGTTCAAATGTGCACTAATTTGTTAATGTTGTATTGAACTAGTAAATTTGTGATTTGATTCTTATTAAAGTTATATTAATTCCAAGTTTGTTTTCTTTTCAAACTAATAGTTCATTACAAACCAAGAAAACCTAGTTATTCATTACGTCCTATTGTCAAATTCCTTAATAGTATGTCTATTTGATCTCACACATGATTAAAGGATAATATTCAAGTTTCCTACCAAGTCCTGTACCATTTAGTTGTTGGGTTCTTATCCAGTTATTTACATTCATTAAGTTAAATTGGTAATAATAATTCCTTTGAATTGGATTCCTCATTATCGTAATGAAAAGTCAGCCGATTTTTATGAGTCATCTGTGTTCTCCGGTCTGAACCCTGTTTTGCCTACTTTAGTTTTAACAATTGAGCAGTATTATTAGCTTTCACATATAAACTGGGGCTCGAAACCGAGTACATGAATCTTTACTTGGTTGTCAAGTTTCTTGAATAGCCTGAAGTTTAGGCTTATTAACCCAATCGGTTTGTACTCCATTTCCCACCTTTTAGTCAAATTTTCACTAGGTGTTTACCGTCGGAAATCTATGGATCACAAGGAAATCATGTCCTTTTCTCCTTCGTCTTCGCTCATTATTAAACTTGATTGCATTTCTCACTTTTCAGGCAATATCCCATCTAATGAGATATCTATCCCTGTTCCACCACATAATAAATCCCCAGTGCTATCTTCCTCATCACCACTCAAAGATCCTACTCAAAAATTAATAACAACTCCATCTCGTTCAAATGAATCACTTCTAACTAATAAAAATGCTACAAATATACGATCTGGTGGGAATATTTCACCTAATCAAATGTTAAAATCCTGTCCTAAACCTGGCTATCGTTTTCGTCATGGTCAACCGCTTATTAATAAACCTAGTAGTAGTGGTAGTGTCGGTACCAGTGGTCCTGTTCGTATGCATTCGAATGATTCACGTTCGGAAAATATTTCGTTACAATCACCCAAGGATTCAAAAGGTATCCGTTCTCGTTTAACATTGTATTCACAAGGTGGCCCAGGACGTCAGCTTGATAATGTAAGTTTTACTTCTTTTCAAATATACGAAAGTTGATATCCATTTTTAGTAAATAACGTTAATTCTGTTAACTTATTCTTGAGAGCCTAGAAAAATTTCGTCCAATCAGCACTCAATGGAAACTCTTCAAAAGCTCCTAGCAAAACAACTTTCATCTCCTGTGGTGTGTGCGAAATGTAGCTCTGCCAACCAAAGGATACATATACTACACACAGTCTGCTCTGTTTTAGTTAGTGGTTTTAAAATATGTCCTTTAAGAGCAAAGGATATTCGTAGACTACTAGTACTTGACCAGGATACTTTCTCATAATCAATGGTTATTGATTCTGGGTGACATGGCTCACAATCGATCACAATAGCGTCGGTGTATACAACCTTTATCTGCCCTTAAACCGTGAGATTAAAATTGCTTTACACCTTTCTTTCTACAAACTAATTCTTTCTTCCTGTGTTATATCTTTGCACACAATATTCATTTTATATATTACTACCATTGAAGTAACTACGTCTATGAACTTGGTGTTGATCTTGTGCTATTCAGGTGTGGCAACTTGGACCGATGCATATATGTACCTGGTCCTACTTTGTAGCTGATTGACTGATACCTTTGAATCTAAAATGGCCAATACTGAGGTTAGACGCAGAATATTGGACAAAGATTGCAACTCGGTTGATGAGGTAGTGAATTCTCATTGTTCGAAATGTATTGCGCTAATATGTCACATAGTTCTGATAATCTTCGTCTTATTACATTATCGGAATTCTCATTGATTAACTTTTTCGGAAAATGTATTTGTATTCCTAATCACCCCTACATCAACTCACTAAGTTTTCTGGCGTACTAGTGGGTTGGAAGAAAGCCAGGGACGACCAAACCAAGACTTGGCATCAGTCCATAAACCCATAGACTGTTAAACTGAGTTTTGTAGATAGGTGTAAACTACCTGTTTTGTGTCAGCATGTTTATCGTAACCAATAGCCGGAAACATTGGACTGCTGATCTGGACTTTTTTCCACATTTTGCAATATGAAAATGGTTTCTTGCTGTTTATCCACTGACTGATGTTAATCTAAATAAAATACACAAACGGTATCAAGTTTATTCTACGTGCAGTTTTTAATTTACTATCTTCATTTAGTAGTAGGACTGGAATTCACAATGATAACACAATTTGCTCGGTCCTTTTGTGAGAACTCTCGAAAAGTTTATTTTTATCTTTAATCATTTCGGTATTTCTACTAAGAATTTAAATGCATTAATCAATACGATATAACAGATACTCATTATTGTTCCACTTTGTTTAACACTTTTGCCAAGTTCTCTGTTATATCTGTCTGTCTTTTCAGTTCGTTAAGTTATCGTCATTTGAGTAAGATTTGATATTCATGAAACTTATAGTTGTTATCCTGAAATAATGTAACTATTTCTGTACTGGTCAAAGTTGAGAATCATTGTACATTAATTAAACACACACATTTTGTTGGTATGTATTGAAATATAGGCCTCAAAACAGATATCTTGAGTCGCTAAATGTGTTATTCTTCCAGTGAACGATTACGTTCACAACACCTTAGATTTGCCACTTATTTATTTATTTAAAGACATAAACATTGGTACAACGACGCACCAGATATATATATATATATATATATATATATATATATATATATATGCGCCACACAAACCATTCGGTTTTTGTGAGGGCTGGAATACTCCCGGGTACCCAAACAGAAGCAGGTGGTTTTCTTAGGGGGCCACTTCCCGAGTCTTTAACCTGAAGATCTAATCCATAAGGCAGTGAAGCAACGTTAGGAGATGCAGTCCAACGGTAGCCGGTGACCAACAATGAGTTCATATGCCATTTGTTTCCTTAGGATCCTGGAGCACATGTGCACCATTGGTATGGAATCAGGGTTATCCAACTCCTCTAGGTGGATCCTCCATATCAACATACTAGTTGAAAGTATTCGCTCTCAGTTCAACTAAAACTATCTTGGATAAAAATTATTAATCAATCAGTCACTCACACAACTCAACTTAGTTGCATTTAAATTTCAATGTACAGTCCTATTTATCTTCCTTTGATCAAATTTACATAATTTTGTCATTTTTTTTTATTATTTCTTCAAAGAACTCACATCTATAATCTTTCTATCTTGTTTGTTGTTAATTTTTAGGGCACATTTCTCTCGTTGTTGTTATTCAGTAAATAAACCTACCAGTTTGTGTTGATAAATGGGCTACATGAACAGATGCCTTGATATCGTCTGTATTTACAGGTTTTATTTTAAATCTCAGCGAGAAACGGACCTAAGTAGAAGTAATTTCAAAGTACTTTTTCAAGTGGCTTATACGCAGAAGCGGTTCAATTCAATCTTGAACACAAACGCTCACAGTTGAAAATAAATACCACACCCCTCTGAACAAGTTATTGGCTATCATGACTTAGTAGTTCATCGGATAACAATCTAGAGTCGTTGGTCACTAAGAATAAATCACACTAGGGAAATCAGCATTAAGATTTAGGTACATCTAATTGACACAAGTGGTAAGTGAAACAAAATATACATTCTACTGTTAGTCACTCGTCGAAATATACTTTTCTTTCTGTATTGAATTGAAACATTATAATATTTTTGTGATCTACTAGTGATACACATTTTAACATATTTCTATCTTATCAATCCTTTTATAGTGTATTTCATTCAATATCTCAAAATTATACTTTCGACAAGCGAAGTTCCCAGCTCGCATGAAAAAATCAATTCATCAGCATCAAGGACAACAACTGAGTTCATCACATAATTTATTCAGTCTAACTGTAGATCCATTTCAACGTTTAATTATTCATATCCCATCTGTTGTAATAGTTGATCATGTTAGTAGTTCAAATGTCAATCAATTACTTTACTCATATAATCGAAACTATTCACCAAGTATCAATTTACTACCGCATAATTTAGATACACCAATGTTACGTATGGTTGTTGTCTGTTGGCCAGTTATACCAAGTCATTTAGAACAGGATAATATTTCATTATTATCTCAACAACAAAGAGTAGAAAAAAGCAAAGTTGACAATGAAAAATTTGTAAGAAAAGGAGAAAATGTTAACATTGATGATAATAATGATACAGAAGATGAAGACAATGTATCAAATGATTGTTCAATGAATATAACACAATTAAAATCTATGAAAAATTTCGATTATATTTATTTACCACAACCTAACAATCTTGAAGTGGAAATTAAACTATCTATTCAACCATTGAAAATTAATTTAGATCAAGTAAGTTTCTATTGTGTTGTCAGAGCTGTTACATTCAATTCTGACCATCAACACCTTTAATATCTGGGATGCCTTGATACAACATAACTGTTTCATTGTTTTTTCATGTATGTTGACATCACTGTAAAATATATATCTAATCCAAAGTCTGTAATTTCCTTTTTTAATCGTACAAAGTTTTCATATCGCTAACAAACTGAAAATGTACTTAATCAAATTTCGGCACATCACTTCTACATACTAATTCACAGTAGTATAAAAACTTTGAAAAGATACAAAGATTTTGTATAATATTTAAAGTAGCCAGATTGCTAAAGGGAAATTTGAATTATTTTCATCGAAACGATGTGAAAAACTTAATGTTAGTTGTCATATTTTGATTTGTTTTCAAGACAATACAGTGTAACATTTTCTAGGTACTTAAAAATAGTTGTCTGGCATAAATGAGATAGTTTTTCATATGCGTACTTTTCTTGATTGGTCTTGGAAAGTTTCATAACAATTGTCCACTGATTTCAGTCAGCTTGACATAATCATTAATTCCTTTTATGGAAGCTGTCTTATGGACACCTGTTTTGCATGTTGAACGAAATCTTTTTAAAGCTATTAAATGCTTATAAAATTACTGTTTTTATGAATGGGGAATCATTACTTATGCTATGCACTATGGAGATTAGCGCTGAAAGATTTCAATAATGACTGGATCATTGTAATTATCTACAACTACATTCATTTAGGTGAGCACTTTTATTGGTTTAACTTTCTCCCTTCCACTCTTATGATCTTCCCTAGTATACACTGCTGTTTTTATACGAATATCAAGAAAATTTCAAAAGGTTGCTCACTGCTTCTTCGAGAGAATCAGACAACTTTCAGATGGGACAATCTATATCAAGTTTGGAGTTTAGATCTCCAACTCAAATATGTACTCAATATGGCTTAGCTTCAAGTCCTAATGTCAATCCAAATAATTCAGCCCAGTCTCATTTAAAGCAATACAATGATAATGTTAATACAGTTCCTTTACCACAGAGTAATTTAGTTCGTCCAGTTTACTTTCCAATGGACCCTATCGAACATAATCAGCCTGTTTTATTTATAAGGTTAGTGTTTGTTTGTTTGTTTTTTGGAGGGGAGTTAAAATTTCAATTGTTACTTCTGATATTTACGTGCAGTTAATTGAAAATTTGTAACATCATTTTCGTACTAGCCTAAGCCCTTTAAAAACATGTGTATAGTTCTTTTGAAAATCGTAACCGTGTTCATATGTAGTACAACTTGGCTATATGACTAATGAATAACTCTCCGTAAGCCCAGTTACCACATATTCTTCTAATATTGTTTGCCTCCATGCATCAGATATCAAATATAATTAAATAGAATAGACAAATTCATTTAATGATACCACGATTAGGTAGAAATAAGGCACAGAGTAACTCATATCTCATACACTAATGTTACTAAAATATCAATCAATAGTATTTGCTCAATAAGCACAGCAAATCTAGACTCAGAAGTACTCAATAGCTTTTCTTACAATGTGTGTGTGTCTGATACTGTGAAAACAGTGTCTGTGCAATATATATAATGTCCCTTTATCATTTACCTTTAATTCAACTTTATTCATTTCACTAATTCCGTACAGTTATAATCCTTAATGTAATAATATATATCTCATAATCTCTGAAAATTGCATTACTTAGTAATTGTAAACCGATTCCTCTGTATTCATAACAAGATTTTGCATTGAATAAATGTCATTTTCGAACTTAAACCATTTCTTGTATAATTAAGAAGTTCAAAGAAAATAACCCTAATAAAAGTCTTCAATGATGAGACAGTTTATGTCATGGATTGTTATCAATTAAATAACCATTGAAAACCACCAAGTACTGAATAAGCGCTTCATCATAGTTTAAGACTCTGGAACAATACCCATCAATAACTTCACTGTGGATTGAATTCAGGTCACATGATGAGTATATAATTTTTCCAAACATTCAGTGGGAAATCTAATAATTCATATGCACAACTTAGTTCACAACTTAACATGAAAATTATGTCAAATGTCTAATTAGTGTTATCTATTGCAATTATACTTTGAAACATATTGGGAACTATCCAATATTAGAATGGGGGTTTGTGGAGACTGTAGTGATTTTAATAGTTGAATTCATGATTCGATGTAAGCTAGACCTGAATCCCACATGCGGGATCATGGATGCTCACTGCTGAGGAGTCCCGTACGAGGACGAAACGGCCATCCAGTGCTTCCAGGCTTTAAATGATGGTCTAGTTTACATCGACTCGTGAATTCAACTGTTAAAATTACCCAATGATCGTTAGTTATTCAAAGGTTTTTTCTTGATAAACTAATTATCTAAATAAATAACATTTTTCTGATTTTTTTCAAATTTCAGAAAATTCACTTTCTACCCTGACTTATCTATTCACCTTGATTATCACGGAAGGCGTTTGGATTTGAGTGGGGTAAACAAGAGAAATCTGAATTCCTATTATTATTATTATTATTATTATTATTATTATTATTATTATTATTATTATTATTATTATTATTAATAATCTGGTTGTGATCAGTAAAGATTGGTTTAGTCATAAAACCCTTCTTTTATTACCTTTTACTTATATCTTGTGACTTCGTAAATGCAACTATTAGTTACAGCTCTTGTGTAAGATAACTGCTGCCAGTAGAATAGCTTACCAAAAGCTCATAAGTCATCACTTAGCCTCGTTAGTTTGCTAATCATTCGGTAATTCTTCATACTAGTGGTTATCAATTGTGTAATCAAGAACTTTCTTCTGTTTATTTGAGTATTTTCGCTTTTAGAAGGTTTTATTTAGAATTTACACTTATCAGATTAACATTATTGTTATTTGAAAACTTTGAACATCATTATTCTTTCTAGATGTTATCTACCTGTTTACGTTGTTGAAAAATACTTCTTTATATAAGAATTATACGATTTGATTCCGTTCATTGAATTGTAGTAACTGTTTAAGAGGCATTATAAACTAGAGGGATCTAAACAGTTGCTTTTGTCTCAGCATTATACACGCTCAAAGTTCATTATATCTCGAAGAAATTAATTTTGTAATGAATCGTGATTGGCTAGTGAACGAAGATATACTATCAACCCTACTTATTGTTTACGAAATTATTTAGTGTTTTCAATTCCTTTCCGTTTGTTATTCTTCTCTGTGCTTCACTGTAAAGGGACTGCTTGTACTTACTTACTTACGTCTGTTACTCCCAATGGAGCATAGGCCGCCGACCAGCATTCTCCAACCCACTCTATCCTGGGCCTTCTTTTCTAGTTCCATCCAATTCTTGTTCATTTTTCTCATGTCTATCTCCATTTCTCGGCGTAATGTGTTCTTTGGTCTTCCTCTTTTCCTTTGACCTTCAGGATTCCATGTGAGGGCTTGTCTTGTGACGCAGTTGGGTGCTTTCCTCAATGTGTGTCCTATCCACTTCCAGCGCTTCTTCCTGATTTCTTCCTCCACTGGGATCTGGTTTGTTCTCTCCCACAGTACGTTGTTGCTAATAGTGTCCGGCCAATGGATCTGAAGTATTTTGCGTAGACAATTGTTAATAAACACCTGTATTTTCTGGATGATGGCTTTTGTAGTTCTCCAGGTTTCTGCCCCATACAGTAGAACTGTCTTGACATTTGTATTGAAAATCCTGACCTTGGTGTTGGTTGACAGTTGCTTTGAGTTCCAGATGTTCTTCAGTTGTAAATATGCTGCTCTTGCTTTGCCGATCCGCGCCTTCACATCTGCATCAGATCCACCCTGTTCATCAATGATGCTGCCCAAATACGTAAAGGTTTTTACATCTTCCAAATCTTCTCCGTCAATTGTGATTGGATTAGTGCATTCTGTGTTGTGTCGGAGAATCCTGCTTTTCCCTTTGTGTATATTGAGACCTATTGCTGCTGAGGCTGCTGCCACACTGTTTGTCTTCTCCTGCATCTGTTGTTGCGTTTGGGATAGAAGGGCCAGATCGTCTGCGAAGTCTAGATCATCCAACTGCATCTTAGATGTCCATTGTATCCCGCGCTTTCCTTCAGACGTTGACGACTTCATGATCCAGTCGATCACCAGGAGAAAGAGAAAGGGTGAGAGTAAGCAACCTTGCCTAACACCGGTCTTCACTTCGAATGACTTTGTCAACTGTCCTCCATGCACGATTTTGCAGTGTAATCCATCATATGAGTTCTGTATGATATTGACTATCTTCTGAGGCACGCCGTAGTGTCGAAGAAGTTTCCATAGTGTTGTTCTGTCCACGCTGTCGAATGCCTTTTCGTAGTCAATGAAGTTGATGTAGAGTGATGAATTCCATTCAATTGATTGTTCCACAATGATCCGTAGAGTTGCAATTTGGTCTGTACACGATCTATCCTTACGGAATCCTGCCTGTTGGTCACGAAGTTGGGCGTCTACGCAGTCCTTCATCCTGTTTAACAATACTCTGTTGAAGACTTTTCCCGGTATTGAGAGAAGAGTAATGCCCCTGTAGTTATCACACTTGCTGAGATCGCCTTTCTTCGGTATTTTGATCAGTAGTCCTTCTTTCCAGTCTGTTGGTACTTGTTCTCCATACCAAATCTTATTGAAGAGAATGTGGAGTATCCTTGCAGTTGCCGCTACGTCTGCTTTTAGTGCCTCTGCTGGGATGTTGTCCGGTCCTGCTGCTTTGCCACTCTTGATTTGTCTGATGGCCATGCTGATTTCTTCAATTGTTGGTGGGCCAACATTGATTGGGAGGTCCGTCGGTGCTGCTTCGATGTTGGGTGGGTTCAGTGGAGCTGGTCGATTCAAGAGTTCTTTGAAGTGTTCTACCCACCTGTTTTGTTGCTCTTCAATGTTGGTGATTACCTTGCCTTCCTTGCTTTTCACTGGTCTTTCTGGTTTGCGGCGATTTCCAGAGAGTTTCTTTGTCGTGTCATACAATTGTCTCATGTTTCCTTCTCTTGCAGCCTTTTCCGCCGTCGTTGCTATATGTTCCACATATTTACGTTTGTCGGTTCTGATGCTCCTCTTCACTTGTTTGTTTATTTCCGTGTATTCAGCTTGTGCCTTGGCTTTTTCTGCTCTTGTTCGGCTGGTATTGATTGCTGCTTTCTTGTTCCTCCTTTCTTGAATCTTATCCAGTGTACCAACAGTGATCCATTCCTTGTGATGGTGCTTCTTGTGACCCAGGACCTCATGACATGTTGAAGTGATTGCCTCTTTGATCCCCTTCCAGTTGCTCTCCACAGTATTTCCTTCTCCATTGAGTAGATCATGAAAGGCCTGGAACTTGTTGCTGAGGACTATCTTGAATTTGTTGAGTTTGTTAGTATCCTGGAGAAAGGCCGTATTGAACTTTTGTGATACTGTCTGCCCCGTTGTCCAGTGCTTCTTGAGTTTCAATTTCATCTTGGCGACCAGTAAGTGATGATCTGATGCTATATCTGCTCCTCTCTTGGTTCTCACGTCCTCTATAGTCCTCCTGAACGTTTTGTTGATGCAAATATGGTCGATTTGGTTTTGTGTAGAGTGATCCGGTGAAGTCCATGTGGTTTTGTGTATGCGTTTATGTGGGAATATGGTGCCGCCTATGACCAGCTTATTGAAGGCACATAGATTTGCAAATCTCTCACCATTTTCGTTTCTTTCTCCCAGTCCGTGTCGTCCCATGATGTCTTCATATCCAGTGTTGTCCGTTCCAACCTTGGCGTTGAAATCTCCCATCAGAATGGTCAGGTCCTTTGTTGGGCACTTCTCGACTATTGACTGCAGCCTATTGTAGAATTGATCTTTAGCGTCTTCATTGTAGTCGTTGGTAGGCGCATAGCATTGGATGATGTTCATTGAAATGCCCTCTTTCTTTGTTTTGAAGGAGGCTTTGATGATCCTTGGTCCATGAGATTCCCATCCTATAAGTGCATTTTGTGCTTGTTTGGACAGCATCAATGCAACTCCTTGTGTATGTGGTGCATTTTCTTCTTCATGGCCGGAGTATAACAGGAGCTCTCCTGTAGTTAGTCGTTGTTGTCCAACTGGTGTCCAATGTGTTTCACTGATCCCAAGTACCTCTAGGTTGTATCTTCTCATTTCTGCAGCAATCTGGAAGGCTCTTCCGGTGTCCCACATTGTACGAACATTCCATGTACCTAAATAAATGATCGCTCTAGTTGTCAGAAGGGGCATCGGCCTCGTAACTTCCGAAGGGATTCGGCTTTCATCATGAGGCGTCATAATTCTTCTAAATGAAGATCTTCTGACTCCCAGGGCAGAGTTTAAAAGGTTTGAATAATTTTTTCTGGTAAGCGTTTTTTTAGCGAGTTAGTTTTCTACGGGATGGGGACGCTAACCCCATGTCCAACCCTCCTCCTTTATCCGGGCTTGGGACCGGCAGTAGCCCCCGGAGGGACTCCAGGCGGAGTTAAAGGGACTGCTTGTACTTTGTATAAATGAATTGTTCTATCTCGTATAATTTGATTCTTAGTCTTGGGTCGGATATTATATGAATTTGTGTATAAATATTTCACGTGATCGTTCAATCTAGTAACTATTTCATTCTGTTGTATTATATTATGCCCAAATAGATAATTCCTGTATTTTACATTATAGTAGAAACTGTTAAAATAGCCGGTTTTCATCTACATGTAATGTGTTATTGATACCGTTTATTAATTGATCAATATCAGATCAGTTTCAGAATAAATTCAGATATAGGCTACGATGTTTTACTTTATTTTTATTTTGTTTTTATTCAATCAAGAATTTACATTATACACTGTATTATTTAACAGGGTTCATTTCATGGTTTACTTGCAATGCTTCTTCAATTAACGAATGCTGAATTCACAATCCCTCGACGTGTTTATCAACGTGGTTATCAAAGTTTCGATAGATTAATTGAAGAAGTTGTAGAAGATTTAAGTTCTATTATCTCAGCACAACTACCTCATGCTATTGTAACTAGTTTTGGTCCAATGCATGAAGTAACACAATTTCGTAAGTTACATTGAACTGATCGGTTATATTTTATTTCTCGTCTGAATAATATTTTGTATATGAAAATTAAGTAATAAACGTTATTTAAGTGGTACTTTTGTTGTCTACATTGTACTGATCATAAAAATAATTTATCATCGTTCTAGGATGACTGAGTATTCATTCAAGCTATTTACAGTTTCAATTCTTACTGGATTCTTTCATTTCAGTGTTGCTTTCACTTTCATACTGATTGACTGACTATACTCTCTTTATTCTGATCTAAATGTAAATCAGAACTAATAACCAATTCTTAGTTAAATTATTTAGAACAATTCTGACTGACAGACTGTGATTTTAATGATTAAAGGTGAAGTATAATCGACTAATTGCTAACGAAACACAACCAGAGTATTTTTTCATTCGATGGAGTAAATTAAGAATCCTAACCAACCCCCCTATCATAAAATAATCGAGTTGATATTTCTTGAAAAATTTATTGTTGAATGTGAATTTTAATTTCACCAAATACATAGAGATAAAAATATGACATCGTTATGACTACTGTTCTAGTCACGTAATTAATTTGAGGAAACCAGATTTTCTACCCTGTTTAACTAATTACGATGATTGACGGATGAGATCATGTTTTGGTACAAATAAAACAGTTTAATCTTAATAACTGAATCATTTATGCATGACAAACAAATTAATCATTTAATTATTACATCATATTTGTCTTTTTCTAACATCCAATATATTTTCAGGAAATATACTGTCCTCCTATTACATGAGTTTTCACATCATTACTCTCTATTGCTTAAGATAAGTTTCAATCTGTCAGTCAAGAAATTCGATGTGACTAAGTTAACGAAGTGTGATGTGATCACAATAGTGTTGTGGATTAAGGTTAGTAACAAGTGTTTGAAATCTGGACACGCGAAGTAGTCTGTTATCTTTATTAGTAACCATCATTAATTATATAATAGCTGTGATACTGTCCGATCGCCCGAAATGAAGCACGTAGTTTCTTCAAAAGCCATATTCTCTAGGCGATGTAGAAGCGTCAAGTAATGCGATCTCATGTTATTCAATAACCGTAGTAGGTTCAAATGCTATCCATCCCCTTAGGATTCTATAGCCCCTGTGTACAACTGGTTTAGAATAATGGCTCCCTAACTCTCCTACGTGTTCTTCCTCCATTGGCCGGATGTAAGCGCCATATGTCTGCTCTCACCCCTTTGCTCTTATGAACTCTCATATTTTAAAGCTTCTTTGAATGAGATTATAAATGCGGTGCTGTATGAAGACATTTCAAGAGAGATGACTCTCCTCACCTTTGATGGGACTAGTTCGTCTGAAGCATGTTCGAAAACACTTATTGAGAATTGTGAACCTTGGCTCCATTTTTCCCAGCGTTATAAATAACCTAGAAACTCATCCAATTACAACTTGTATTGTTCATATGTATCCAATAAGAGATATGTTCACAAATATCTTCAGGTGTTAAGTTACACCTTCACATAAATGAAACCGGCCGTCTCCTAACAAATATTATTAAGTTCGCAAATATTGGTCCACGACCGTTTGTTCATAACACAAGATCTAGATTTATCTTACGGATAAATCTGACTTTTTCTTTATCATTCCAATTATCTATTAAGTTTTTCATTGTTTCTTAAACCTAATAGGTTATTCCATTGAAAAGCACTCTAATGTGATTTTTACATCGTTATATGAACTCTCAGCAGTGTATCGATTACGCTAGATTTAGATAACAAGGGTATTATTGCTGTTAGATCGTGCACTATTGGTTCTTCACGTGTACTGTCGTAATACACACCTAAATCTTATTCTTATATTTCAGTTCTCGGTTTATGGGATCTGGTCTATCAACCTGTTTGCAGCTTCTATGGGACGGCTGAATTACCTAATACATCATTGGATTCTGGTCATGTTGGTACAGCTGTTTGTAAATTGGGTCTGTTTAAAAAACCTCATCAGCTTCGTAATGAAATTTGTCATAGTAGAGAATGTACGCTTACAGATACATCTTGTGGTACCAATCGAAGCGGAATTATTCATGGTCTTAGAAGAGGCACACGATCATTTTCAACAAGTACTCTATGGGCTACCTTACAGTTGAGTATTCAAGGTATAAGAGCTCTCCAATCTATTGCAGAAGTGAGTTTCATATTGATTTAATTTATTTAAAATGTGTGTACAATAATGAACATATAATTCCTGTTGTATATTTCGAAACTTAAATAGATTTCTAGTTCCGTTTTATTTATCAATGGATGTTTATGATTAAAAATATTAACTGACAAACGTCAACATAATTTAGCTATCTTACCTTGGCAGTGAGAGGTTTAAATAAAGCCCGAACAAATACTGATGCAGAATAATATGAATTTATTTTATTTTGAGGTTTTTCGTCAGCTGCTTACAACCAAATATGTATTAGAATTTTACACTGATCCTCTTAAATTATGTGAACTCTTCAAATTCTATTCAATTACTACGTAATTCATCTTATCAGTTTTTAATTCCATGAATCCTTCATTACCTTTAAAATTATCCCACAATCTATCTTATCTGTCTCTGAACTCCACTCAACTATTACACCACCCATCCTTAATGTTTCCTTGATTCTAACATCAAATAACCTCTGGCCTGTTCTTGCATCTCAGAGGACCATTAAGAACTCTAGGCTACTCATACAGGTTTATGCGTCATCGATCCATTTGTTAAGTTGGTGTTTTCTAATTGGCGATCGTACTACATAGTATATTAATAAGTCCATACAGCCATAACAGTACCCACTATCCGCTGTCTGGTGGTCTCACTTATGTTTAGGTGTATGTCAGAAAATACTGGGATGGTAGTCATGGGCTGAATGATATGCATGTAATGTGTAAGAGACAGTCTGTTGTAGCAAATATGTTTTCAAGGGACCGGTGAACAACTAGCCTCCGAAGTGGGTGAATACACATTTATGTATGCTACAGGATGCATGGGATAAAATGTGTGCTATCGGTGTGCATGTAACGTATATTTGCTCACAAAGTAGTTATATCTGTATGTATACCAAGGAATACTCGGATGAAAGTCTGTGTGTTACCTACTATGCATGTAGACTATACTTATCCAGAGTAAGCAAAAACTCCAAAGAATCCTTTACTTGGTCTCCATATCACGATACCTACATACAAGCAAAGACCTGCGGGGTTGTGATTCTCCATGAAATCACATCCACGCAGTGGGTTTGTGAGCCTTGAAAACACGGAATCCATCCCAGAAGAGCCTACAGGCCTCGCCAAAAAAAGGGTCTATCAACCAATCTGGTTGGAACACCACATCACCGGTCGCACTTGCGAATACTTTATTTCCTTCCAGACATTTTCCACTACTTTACGATAAATTTCTTCAGACATCATTTTAATAAGATACTCGTGAATGTATGCTATTTCTTCTTGTATTTTATAGCTGAACACAATCTCCTAGCCCTGTTAAATAAGGTTTTAACCAAACAACTTTTGTAACTAACAGGATAAAAACTATAACTTGAGTACTGTTCCGTCGATATTTCTTTCCTGGTAATAATCAAGAATTGAGTAAGATTAGTTTACTCGTGCGTTTTTACATTCAACACATGGCCAATGAATGAATAACTAAACATTCGATTTTATCTCGAAAGTACAAGTTTCAAATTATAATCGATCTCATTGGAAAAGATACAATCAATATTTATCTTGGTGTAAATTAGTAACATCACATTATTTATTTTCTAGTTGATTCGTACCTTCTAAATACTTTTGCTGTTTGTTTATTAGCGATCAATATTGAATAGGAATTAGTTACGTGTCTTTTACATCATAATAAATCATATATTTGTTATTTTTCTTTTCATAATTTAGACGGCTTACGATTTAGTTACACCAGGACCAGCTTTACGTAGTCGACGATTATATTTAAGACAACCAGCTGATATACGCGAAGGATTTGGTAATGCTGTAAATGTATTGACGCGAGGATTTCAAATGGTAGCAGAAGATTTGTGTGGTGCTACTGCATTACCATCAGAAGTAGAAATTGGATATAAAGGTCCAGTTGGAATGGTTGGTGATGTGTTACGTCAAATACCACCAACTATGGTCACGCCCATAGTGGCCAGCTGTGAAGTAAGCACAATGAATTGAATTATTTTTCTCTTCCCTCTTTGAGCTTTATACTGCTGTTTGTATGATTCGCTAAAATGTTCATTGCTGGATGCGTAGACGTTCTGCCAAACACATAACCAGTAATAACAACCATGTGATATGTTTGCAAGATTTTTTCTAAGTATGACCTTTTCATTAGTGCTTTTTTTTTGATATACTACCATCGACACCCCCCCCACCCAATCCCTTCCAGATTTCTTTTTCAGAAAAGTTGAAATGGTTGGTCAATCAGATGAGCCCACGCTACTAGTTGAAAGTATGGCTTCACTTTCTGAAAGATATGTACCCGTTTTCGAGAGAGCGATGGATTCATGCTCGAGTCGCTTAGTCAGTAAAGGGCTTCCTGCTCACTCAGTTTTCTTCACTCAAACAGCTGGTGGGGCTCATATTAGAAAACTTTTATATGAGTATCTGACCGTACGACCGCACAACATAAGCTATAAATTAAATTTAGTTATTTATCCAGATGATCAACTGTATCGTAGTGAAGAAGACTTCTTTCCTCCGGATGATAAGAGTATCGAATAGAGCTAGAACCTGGCAGGCTGAAAATTACTTCTAATCTTCTGGCTACCACCTGTACAACATTTTTATTATATAATGAGAATCATTAAGTTCTGTAATCTGTTACCATAAATCTTATCACTAAATATTTTCTGTCCATATAATTGTTTGTCATCCAAATATTGTAACAAAATTGTCATTATCGTTTTTTCTTATCATCAATCTTTACAGGTAACAGCAAATATTCTCGGGGGTTTACGTAACCAACTTAGACCTGAAGCTAAAGTTGAGGATGAACAAAAGTGGAAGAATACTTACGGCTTATAATAAAAAAAATGTAATAAATGATAAAAGATAGATCTTTTTATTCAGCTTGCACATAAACACGTCAAAAAGTGTATAAATTATGAAAGATGAGAACTTTTTAATTTTGAAACACTTAATTATTTGCCTTTCTCCTGTTACTGTTCACTTTTAAACCATTTTTTTCGCACATTAACTAACTTCAGATAAATATTCATTTAACTGATATGTCTTTCGTTATAATCTCATTTATCTTTAATCCTCAGCCAATTATTTATGAGAGTACATTGGATGTAAATTTTGTGATTTTTGCGAACTTGAATAAAACCCTTTTTTTCTCTATTTCCCGCTCTCCTTTATTATGTTCACTCTGCAATGTTGTTGCTGCTGTTATTATTATTAATTCCATTCAGTTTCACTCCTATTTTCTATTCTTCAGCTTATTTTGCTTTTCCCTTAAATTATACTTTCAATGATGTGGCTTATTTTTATTTATTCATCAAAGAATAAAAACAAAGGCCAGATTGAGTTTCTAGTGGGTTGTGTACAATTATCAAGCTTGTTAATAATAATGAACAACAGTTTTCTTACTGTGCATAAATTTTCTAGATATTTCAAATTTTTTATGTATTTATTTATCGACTGAGGAATAGTGTTATTGTAAGTCAATGATTTCGACTATTAACAGAAAAAACGAAACATGATATTAAGTTGTATACACTAAATGACGTAGGTATCTCAAAGGATTCAGTCAGTAAATAACAACGTAGAACTTCGTACGTACATCAGTTTGAGTTGCCATACCACATTAGCACAGATGATTACTGGGATTATTGTCTAATATACTAATTCATAAATCTGTGGTTAGGAAATCTTCGATGATCGTACTCTGTACCACTGTTGCAGTAGCACAATTAAAGACTTCGAAATAACGAAAGAAAACCATTGAATCATTCAACAAAATCGTAAGTTTTCGGTGAAGAAAACTATTTTGGATGATCATTTACTAAAGCTGTACAATAATATCTATAGTTATTTTTTACATGCAGGATGGACTCCTGTTCGTCCATATTTTCATTTTCGTTATAATCTGGTGGATAATATTTCACATCTCGTTCCTATATGTTATCTCATCATTAATACCATCTGACTGATACGTAGCTTAGGATTCTGACCGACTTTTAGTGGCTCTGTTAATGACACATTAAACTTTATTTATATTACACCCCACTATATATAAAAAAAGTAATTTTAAGTACGGTTGTATGACTCTGGTGAATGTGATATTCGAAAAAACCTTTTCGCTAAAACGTCTTCACTTCATGCATCTTTAACAAGTTCTTTTATGACAAATCATAATATCTACCTCTTCGACTTTACGGTTAGTTTGCATATGTTGACTGTTACTGTCCTACTGCAAACCCGACGTCTGGACTCCCTCCGAACTAGTTCAGTTTTAGCAGCCCGGTAGTACCACTAGCTAGGCTTCTAGTAAACTATGTAACTCAAAGCTGACCAAATAAACCTGGACATGGCAAATGAGGTTTTCCAACTACGGTTTTTAAATAAACTAGCTGACGGACGCAAAAAAGACGCAGTGTATTAGGAAACAGTCAAATGTGTCTTAACAAAAGACAGTAAATAACTGCAGCTGAATAAGTAAAACAAACAAAAAATAAGCCATATCTATTCCAAGTAAAGGAATTTCACTGGAAGCAAACAGATGAAGAATAATGAAGCACAGCCAAAATTATAATCCATCTTGAAGAATTACATAATAATAAAATGTCAGGATATTTCATACAAATTTCATCTTAATAGATTACAATTTTAGTTGAACCAGTTCAACTCGAACAGCTTTTTTGTATTCTTCCAAACCACCTGGTAATGAATATACACGACTTCCTTTAGCACTGTCAACAGGACTTATGCCCATGCGTGTACACACCCATACTTCATTACATACAGCTTGAATTAGACGTTCGTCATGTGAAACAAGTACAACTCCACCGGGAAAATTAACCAAAGCATCAGATAAGCCTGCAATCGTTTCTACATCTAGATGATTTGTCGGTTCATCGAGAACAAGCATATTTGGACTAAAAATTGGAAGGACAGAAAATGAACTTCCTATGTAGGTCTGTAAATCTTTTTAAATAATAGGAAATGTACCAATATTCTACATAGCTAAATACAAGTGTACAAACAAGACCACGTTTACCTAGTTAATGGTTAACTGTACATGTAAGGACAACCACATGATATCAATATATTCGTGATCGATAAACCTATCAAATTAGTCTAGCAAATGTAGGCATCAGTCAAAGTTGCGATCTCGTCATTAGTTCAAACAACAGTTGATTTTTGTTATTCCCCAGCTAGTTAGTTAAAGATCAGTGAGAAATAATTCATTTCACCGTTTTTAATTTTATTTGCATAGGACGTACTTCCTACAAAACATTACTGCTTCAAACTAGCCAATTTCATTAAGGCAAGCCGTATTAAATTATTATTATTAATGTGTCTATGCATTTTAATAGACTACGGTCACTGTTGGGTAGTATAAGAATTTTGTTTCTAACCACTATGTACACCTAATAGGATTCAAACAATACTACTATTAGACTTGATACAATAGATGTTGCGCATCATTGTTAAATATGTTGGTTTGGGTGTGTTTATAACTTTGTTCATTGATTTAAATTCATATCTAATAAGTCTTCCAACCACTACTAGTTGGATTGTTACGGTTGATAATGATAATAGCAGTAAACTTCTCACCTAAATTCAGAGTTTCATTACCTCCGATGGACAGATCATCTAATATTTTCTCAAACATTGTTCTTTATACATCGATTCAGCTCTATTTGAGGCAATTTTTTGACTTGTTTTACTGATTGTTCTCAGCCCTTATGAACTTGAGAAATACGACAATTTGAAGTAAAGCACTTTTGTGCAAGATCTGGTGTTTTCGTATCTGTCTCTCTCCTAGGTACAAAACGCAGTGACCTGCTGTGTTGCATTGTACAGTTGTAATACAATTACTGAAAATGAAGCTTAAGTAACTATCCATGTACTCACTAGAAATGACTAAAGAGAATGTTGCTACAGTTAATGTGATAGATACTGGTACTGGGTAAAAATTTCACATGAGCTGTATAGGAGTAGAATGACGAATAGAAAATGTAAACTGTGTGGGTCAGTTTAACATAGTACAATCGATTAGTGAGTCATTATAATATAATTTTATGTGGTTACCAAAATAAAAATAAAAACTGTCAGTAGTTGCCGTAAAACTTACTTGGACATACACATAGCAACAAATGCAACTCTTGATTTTTGACCTCCTGACAAACTACCGATTGGTTGAAGAGCAAGCATTTCCGTTATATTGAAATTCGCCAACTGGGAACGATAAACTTGTTCAGTCTGATTTGGGAACTTTCTCATCAAAAATTCTAAACTGCTTAATTTTAAATCCAGCTGGTCAACATGATGTTGGCTAAAGTAGCCAATACGTAAACTACGATGTGCGTGGCGTAATCCTGAAGTTGGTTCTAAATCACCTAAAAGAAGCCGAAGTAATGTCGTTTTACCTGCACCGTTCTCACCAACCTGAATAAGAAAACAGTTGACAAAGATCAATAAGAATAATTCACTAAATGAACTAACAAAAATTGAAGTAGAATAAAATCTAAGAAATCCATTAGTAACCCAAAAAGAAAGTGCTGGAAGATGAAAATAAGTTAAATCTATGTCGTTTAGGAATGAAATTAAAACCCACAATACTAGTTAATATTTGTTCATTGAATTCCAACCAGTGGTCTGCACTCACTTTGTCATTAACTTTTAATAGTCAAAAAGTTCATTTATTTGAGCAGTTGGGTGAGTGCTTGCAGTAGCAGGTCAGATAAAAATCAATTTACGTACAGTGAAAGCCAAAGTGGATTAAGCTAATCTGGGTTATCTTTGGAACCACCATCATGTTAGTTCGGTCGTAAAACGTCTGGTGTAAAAGGCATCGGTGAGAGCAGTTTTTTGTATGTCTGCAAAACCTAGTCTCTGCAAATCGAGAATGTTGGGCGACTTTGTGTTAGAACATTGTTGTCTTCGAAGGATTGCTGACATTTAGTGGTAACGCTATGTTAGTAATGAGGAGGTTCGGCAATATGTTAGGGCACGGTGATGATAAATCGATTGGAAGCACAATCTTGAAACACCATCCTCGGCAGCTCGAACATGTATCACGAATGTCATCCCAGCAGCTTTCGCGTCGTGCGTCATTTGCCAACCATGAGGCTGATTGGAAAAAGTGGAGAGATGGTCGGTTTATAGCATAGTGCTGTGGTATTAAAGAAAGCTTTAAAGGACAGGCATCTGTCAGTCCATAAAGACTCTCTTTGAGATTCTAGAGATGGTGTAACCCAATGATTTCAGACGTTATCAGACATGCCTGGGCTTACAATAGAAACCAGTGGCAATCCTGATTTAGTTTTCTGTTATATTCTGCATAAACGTTAAACAAATTTTCTTAACTGAAGGAATTCTTTAATTGTTATCTGTTTAACAGAACTGTCTTATCATATACTACCCTTGTTCATTTATAAATTGATTTGAATGGGATTTTCTATTTTATTTCTTCATTATATTATCATTTCTTTTATGTGGTACATTTTCGGAACTATACTACACCAGAATTTATGCACTTCAAATAAATAAATACATTTAACCACAAGCTTTCAGGTTTAAGCCCCGCTTTAGTGATTTCGTGCAACCAGATGAAATCAATAATCCTTACATTTAAAGTACATCTCAAAACAGAGTATATATAAAGTAAACTGGATAAATAAATTATATTCATTTATTGGAAAATTTATTAGGAAACTTATAAATTAACGAACTGACACTCAAAAGATAATATTTACAGTTTTTAAACAACGAAGCTCGATGTGACTTATCTGACATGAAAAGTGAATATTTTAAACTATGGATATAGTCGCATTTTTGATATTGTTGATTGTTTGTAATTAGTATATTTATGTAAGCTATTTACTATCACTTTATTACCAGTTCCATGAAATTAGTAACCTTTAAATATATATATATATAATCATTTTTATTTAACCTAATAATTGTACAGTTTAATAACTTACAATGCTGATTCGTGAATCTGGTGAAATGCTCAAATTGACATGATTTAAAATTGGTTTGTCCAGTACATAATGAAAACAGACTTCATCAAGTTGTAACAATGGAGGAGAAAGTTTCTCACAATCAGGCAGTCGAATCACAACTTTCAATTCTTTTTCAGGAGGAATTAATGGTGGCAACTTTTCTAAATGCTTAATTCTACTTTGTACGAGGGATGCACGTTTTGCATTGTAACGAAATTTATCTATAAATTGCTAAGAATATAAATAATTATAATTACAATATAAGTGAATATCATTTGTCAAATGAAACAGGATTTATCAGCTAAATAATCAATCAACAAATAATTCTATTAACGCTCTCTAACCAAAGCATACTTTAGACTGAAATATTTTTAGATTACAATCAAGCAGCATACGCAACTATAACCTCAGTGGGAATTACATTATGAAGATTTTAATTAACTACATACAACTAAACGTAACGAACGAAATAGAACATTAATAACTGAACTAAATAATGCTTTGAACCTCAGTGTAGCTGCTATTCTGACATGGTGGTCGACTTTGTCTAAAGTGATGACTCAACCGAGCTATATTGGCTGGAACACATGATCCTTTAGGTCCTATCATGCCAGACGGGTTGATTAGAGAACTGTAAGACTAAAAGCAGCAATTTAAGGTCCGAAGTACTGTTGGCTGTAGAGTGACGTAACAGTTGACGATCGAATCCATCTCCTCTTAATAATCCCCCTATCCTCACAACTAACCCTTCTCACTTATATCAATGTGACCTTCCAGTACATATATGGTTGTAATCAGCCTATGAAAAACCACGGAATACAATGAATTCATATTATTCTGACTCAATTATTGTTCTAACCTTTTAATTTGCCTTTGCTAATAATTTGAGTTCACGAAATGTTACTCCCTGTCTCCTGAAACCACGCTCAAAACTACATGTTGGAACTTTTGAGGTTTAAACATTGTGTCAGGTAGGATAACAATCTTCTTTAGATAGAACTCTAAATAGTCGCTTGTGTGTTGTTCGAATAAACGGGACAGAAAAAACCCGAAAAGATAGGAACACGCCGCGTTGTCTTTTCGTGATCTCTCCCTACGCTCCCACAGATTGTAACACGGAAGTTAAAGATGAGTTTTATAGGAAGCTATCTAGCCTCCTTCGAAAAGCTAAACGCTCTGACGTAGTAACAGTGCTACGTGGTTTCAGTGCGCAAGTAGATAAACTAAACCAAAACGAAAGGCCCTTAGGAGGATATCTTATGGTGTTTCGGCTCAGCCAACACATAATCGTGACCGTCTGTTTCAACTATCCTCAGATAACCATCTATTTCTGGCAAATACCAACTTTAAAAACACAAGGAGAGGTATAGTTTGATATGGTGACCACAGTTGACACATAAATGGACCCAAATAGATCCCATTGTCACTAGCCATCATCGGAGCGGCCCGATTGAAAACTGTCGCTCGTTCTAGAAAGGGAGATAGCCAACAGCGAAAATGAAACCCACCCCGAAGTAGCTTGGTATGATATCCAAAAAGCCTACTAGTAACTGAAACCAATAGGTTAGGAAAAACCATTGGATTTCAGCAGCAGCGATAGGTAACAGTACACAACTGTTCATACTTATCAAGCAAACAAGTATTAAAAACCCAGCTGTTAATGAAACTATCTCGGAAAAAGACGGGACTACTACTCACTCACAATCAATGTAATTGAACCGATGAGCAAAACACCCTAGGGAATAGTTCAACTGGCCTTCAGCCACACTTCAGTTATCTCCAAGCAACCCGAATGAGGAATTGAAGTAATCTAAAGCCAGGGAGGGCAGCGGGACCTGACAGATTAACCTCTGAGATTTTTAAGGGTGGTGGTCCAGTTTTAGCAGTTAAATTGTCTGAGATCTTAGCTAGGATCTGGAAACTGGACATAATCCCATCTGACTGGTTTCCATAGCTGATCGTTCCAGTCTATGAGAAATAATTAAAATCCTCTTGTGACAATCGAAGAGGAAGTAGTTTAACTTATATAGTGTCTAAAATACTGGCCTCAATAATACTTCCTCATATGTGAGCGAGGGAAATAATGATTGGTTGTTTGCTTGGTCAGACTAGTAGATAGTCTGACATGTATTAGGAGAGTTATATATTTCCCTACTCTTATTATTATTGTGACTGTTGTCGGTTTTAGGAGTGGAAACATACTTACGTTCCAGTCAAGCTAGACACGTGTTCTCAACCTGAGTTGTGTTGACGTCCTGTAGAATAGACACTGGGAGAGTACCTAGTGTAGATATTCGTCTAAGGTAAATTTAAGTCCAATTCGTGTAGATGGAGAAAACCGAGTTATAACACTTCGACGTAAAACTAGAGCGCGTAAAGAGCAAATCCGAGAAAATCAGACTGCTTTCAGACCTGGACGCGGATGTATAGACCAAATATTCACTCTTCACCAAGTTCTGAAACATAAAGTGCTTTTTGACTCACGATAATAGTTGTCTTTCTTGCTCTTAAGGAGGCGTTCCACTCTATTGGTCGTGCGGTTCTGTAGCGGTGTGTTAATGAAAGGTGTACTAAAGAAGTTCATCAACCTTGTAGAGGCACTCTAATCGAACACTAACGGTCGAGTCAGAGCTTACAGTGAACTTTCATCGGAATTAATTACCTCAAGTGGTGTTTATCAGAGTTGACCACCTAACTCATTCTCGTTTAACTATATCATAGACATGGTTTTAAATGCCACTCTTACATCATCTGACTGTCGGGTGTCGATCTTATATCAGAAGGTTTAGTTGTTGATGATATAGTTTTGTTTGGTGAAGACGCCAACAAAATAGTCTTTTGACAACCTTAATCAGCAATGTATGCATTTTTGGGATGTAGTTCTACCCCTCCAAATGTAAAATGCAACTTCAGGATTGAGTTGCCTCACTTGTCTTGGAAGTCCCATCAGTACTGATGGTATGATGTCTGACGAAATCTCAGCACGGATTCAGAGGGCTCGATTGGTTTTTGCCGACTTGCGTTACTTGTGGTGTAGGTGAGACATCCCTCTTCCAACCAAAATGAAAGTTCACAGTGTAGCAGTTCGCTCCATAGAGGATGTTCGCAGGTTACCAGTATTCCATCATTTATTTGTTTGTTTAAACACATAAACGTTGGTACAAGGAGGTGCCAAATGTATTTGCGCCACACTCCATCATTCGATTTGTGTGAGAGTTGGAATACTGCCCGGACGTGTCTTTGAAGCATCGATCGTGTATTCTGGGATCATGAAGTGGTAAATGTCTGGGTTAGGAATAGGATGCTAGGTAAGGATGGCAAATCGATTGAAGAGGTAGCAAATCTTCATCAACTGAGGTGCTTGAGACATATGTTAGTATGTCCAAGCACTGTCTAGCTTGACGCGCGATTGTGTGGTACAGGAGTAGGCTGGAAGAAAGCTAGGGGCGGCCAGACCAAAACATGGCATCAGTTCATGAAATTAATGACAATTTGATGTGAACATGTTAATAAATGTAGACTACCTGGTTGAGATCGGCGTAACCTTGAATGACATGGCTCAAAATCGTTTGTAATGGGACAGATAAATTCGTTCTTCGTCTTCCCTCAAACTCTGGGATTCTAAATTCCTCATAACCTTTATTTTATTTCGCTAATTTATATTTTCTTCTCGAGTCATATCTTCGATGCCTAATCTTTTCTATTACCACTGAAATTGTTACTGCTTCTACTATTCTGAGATTTGACTTGACAATTTCATTTTTCTGTGCTAATGAAATATGGCAACTCGAACCTATATTCGTACGTACCAGGTTCTACGTTGCGATGGTCATCCACAAATGAAGAATATCTTCCTCATCTTCTCACTTAGCCCTTGAAATTCCAGTGGAAGAACTTATATCTTGAGTAGAATTATTTACTAGACTCACCAAAGAACATAGATCAGATTTACAGTTATTTGTATATAAGCATATTTACAGTATTTTTAGAAATAAGGTGGTAAAACGGTGTACTAAAACAAACGAAGCAACCAAAGAGCTTTTTTAACTCGAACTGATATACATACGCACAGATTCTACGTTGTGACTGACTGGCTGACTAACTAAACTCATTTTACTGATTTATTGTAGTTTGCAGATTACCTCTCTTAATGAGATAAAGTAATGTGACATTACGAATTTACCAAATACATAGATACAAACTTGATTTCATATGTTACATTATAAACTAAACAGTTCCGTATGAAAAACAAATGGGTAAACTTATTTTATTCGCTAAAAATATGTGAAATGGTAAGAAACAAACTATTTAGTAACATGAATACATTTTCGTTTAAATAATGAATTAACTCACTTGTATATGCTCTCTTTCAGCTTTCAATGACTCGTACTCCCTTTGTTGATTTAGCAATCTTTCAGAACGAGCTTGCTCAAAAGCATCATAATTCCCTCGGTATGCATCCAAACGCTTGCAATTCAAGTGAATAATATCAGTTGCAACTGTATTTAAAAAACTTCGATCGTGTGAGACAATCAAAAGGATGTTGGATGAGGACTATAAACAATCAAGTGTAAGCAAAATGAAAAATACAGTGAAATTAAACATCTAAAAAAGCAAAACAGTCAATTGTAAACTTGCAGATCACATTACAAAAGCCTAACCATGTACTTGTACTGCGTCACTGAGAATAGAAAATGTTCACATCAAACATATTTGCCCCCAAATGCCCTGGTACGGCCGAGGGTAGGAAGAGTCAGCTCACCCTCTCGACATGCTCTCACATGACCACGCGTATACAGCCACTGTCAGGGAAGTCTTACTCACTGCTTATTATTATTATTATTATTATTATTATTATTATTATTATTATTATTATTATTATTATTTAAACACATAAACGTCGGTACAAGGAGACACCAAATATACATGCGCCACACAAATCATATATATATATATATATATATATATATATATATATATATATATATATATATAGGGCTTTCCTGTACCAATGTTTGTTTTTAAATAAATAAAATAACCATCAAACATTTAGATACTGCAATGAAACAAACGGATGACTTAAAGAGTTTGATAAGATTAGGACAAAAGGTGATGAATAGTAAATAACAGGATAAACTATAGTGTTGAGGTTAATGTCCTCAAAACACAATAGTACAGTTGGAGATGAAGATAGTGCATACACCTTGAAAAAAAACTAATATAACCGATTACTTATCAACTTCAGGACTTAATGGAAAAAACAGGCAATCAGTCCATAAAATAATTGTGCGTTAGTAATAAAAAGCAAAGCTGGGATATATACCTTCCAATCCAAGTTTATAATTAACATCAACACAGAGATTGACAAAATGAAAAAAAATCTTTTAATACAGCGAAAAAGTGTGCAAATTATGAGATAATATTAGGCTTGAAATTTAGGAGATAAATAATGAATGCATCTGTGTCCGTTGATGCATCAGGATACTCTTGACGCAACCTAAAGATTTTTCAATTCGGTGACTTCAGACTACATTAAACGGGTTAAATAGAATCCTCCCTAAATTTTCTATATGATTTCCCTATAAATAAAGATTCACCTCCAATAACTGAAAAAAAAATAGTTCTCACATTTATTGAACTAAACTTTCTGAAACATTTTGTTGTTTTTTTTATAACACGAATCTCTGCCTATTTCTTTAAAACGGTCGTTTCACCTCGTATAGTCCATTACTTTATCCCCGATTTTACCGAACCAAAGTTCGAATAGAACAGATGCCTTTAAATCTTCGAACTTAGATTACGTCTCCCACATGCTCTGGGCCCCAAATGCCCTGGTATGGCCGAGAGCGGGGTGGGGCTGCCCTCCCTCTAGAAATACTCCCATACGGCCACGCGTATACAGCCTCTGCCAGGGAAGTCCTACTCGCTGCCTTCTCGTGGCGAGGGTGTTGTTTACAAAAATGAGAGGACGAAAAGCGAATATCCCTCTGCATCTCAATCCTGGACTCAGATTGATCACATCGCGATCAGCTACCGCTGGCGTGGTTTGGAACAAGACTGCCGCTGCTTTTGTAGTACCTATCTGGACTCTGATTATGCCCTGGTCTGCGCTAATCTCACCTTACTTTTCAGTGGACAACGAAGTGACCGCCATCAACGGATTGATATTAGCAAGCTGGTTGCAACTTCTGTTGCAAGTGAGTATCGAACCAAGCTAGCCTCTAGGCTAGCTACCATTCCACAGAAAAGTATAGATGAGAATTGGTTGCAATTGCATGACGCCATGAAAATGGCGGGTACAGTCAGTTGTGGGTTCGCGAAACGTCCCGCTTATAAGCACTGGGTTTCTTCTGGTTCCTTACAACTCATTGAAGCCCGTCGGTCTACTCCGGGTGACCGTGAGTTTGGCCACAAACGAAGGTTGTTACGTAGCGAAATTGGGCAAAGCTTGCGTAAGGACAGAGAAGCCTGGTGGTCGGAGCGTGCTAATGAGCTGGAAGCAGCAGCTGCATCTGGTAACTACCGGAAGCTCTTCCAGCTCATCCGAGCCACTGGCAGCAAGAAGTCTGGTGTGAGTGAAACAATCTGCGAGGATGATGGGATGCCAATCACTAACATCCATCTACGTCTTGGATGATGGGAAGAATTTTTCGAAGGGCAGTTCAACTGGCCTGCTGCTCCAGCTACATCGGTCTGACTGTCCTACCCTCTATGGCCGGTGACGACTGATCCACCAAATGAGGCGGAAGTCCGCAAGGAACTGCAACTCTTGAAGCGCTACAAATCACCTGGCCCAGATGACTTAACTCCGGCACTTTTTAAAGATGGTGGTGACTTTCTGACTAAGGAATTGGCGACGTTGTTTACAAAGGTTTGGGAGCTAGAGAGTGTACCGACGTCATGGAATGAGTCGATAGTTGTCCCTATCTTTAAAAAGGGTTCACGTCGTTCCTGTAACAACTATCGGGGGATAAGTCTACTTCCGATTGCGTCCAAGCTATTGGCTCCCGTCATACTTCGTAGGTTGTTCGAAACCCGAGAAAGATTGACTCGCGAGGAGCAGGCTGGGTTTCGTTCTGGTCGAGGATGTATTGACCATAGCTCCACCCTCCGCCAAATGTTAGAACACCGTCATACTTATCAAAGGCCAACAATCGTAGTATTTCTTGACATTAGGGCCGCCTTCGATTCGTTGGACAGGACTGTTCTCTGGGATTGTCTATTGAAGAAGGGTGTGCTCAAGCCATGCAATCCGCACTTAATCAGTTGGCAATCAATGTCCGTAGGTACGGTATGTGCTTTGCACCTTCAAAGTGCAAAGTTCTTCTACAAGGCTGGCAGGATTCTAACCCTGTACTCACCCTGGGTGGTGAGCAGATAGAAGTAGTCAAGAAGTTCGTGTGCCTAGGTAACTGCATAAGTGCTAGTGGTGGCGTGAGTGATGAGATCAATGCAAGTCTAGTGAAAGCCAGAGCGGCCTGTGCCAATCTGAGCCACCTTTGGCGCCTTCGCGATGTCAGTTTGGCTGTAAAAGTTCAGATCTACAACGCGTCGGTGAGAGCAGTTTTGCTCTATACTTGTGAAACCTGGCCTCTCCGAGTTGAGGATGTTAGACGATTCTCTGTGTTTGATCATCGTTGGCTCCGAAGGACTGCTGACATCCAGTGGCAACACCATATCAGTAATGCAGAGGTTTGACATCGTGTGTTCGGGCACAGAGACGACAATTCAATTAGTGTCACTATCTTGGAATGCTGACTTCGGTGGCTTGGACAGGTACTAAGAATATATGCCTATGGAGTTCCACATCGTGCATTATTTGCTAACGCTGGGACTGGTTGGAAAAAGCGGAGAGTTGGTCAGTGTATGACATGGTGTCGTGGTATGAAAGAAAGCTGCAAAGGACTGGCTTGTGTCGGTCCTTCATGACTCCCTGGCTGGGGTCCTAGAGATGGTGCGACACAGTGGCTAGAACGTTGTCAGATATGGTTTAGAATATAAGTCAGTGGCGACCCTGCTGTAACCTTCTTTTGCTTTCTTCGTAAAAAATGGTTGTTTCTTCCTTAACTGAAAGATTTCTTCTGATTGTACTTTTCCGTTTCCCCCATTATTACTATTATTATTATTACTCTACCTTAAACTAATCTGTTCGTTATTGTTTATTTTTACGCTCCTTACCTTCTTTTTTTTCTCCTCGAATTCTCATTGTTTCGTGTGGCGCATATATATTTGGTGCCCTCTTGTACCAATATTTATGTGTTCAAATAAATATAATAAATAAAATAATAATCTGCTATGAACAACCGATCAACTTGCAGTCATATGATAAACTCACGTTGGGTAACAACTATCTGTAAATCAAGTAGCACTAGCTACCTCTTCGATATTTACGAAAAATCTTATGATATTCACAGTATAAGTTCCTTAATTACCTTTTACCCAATGGGTTACCAAGTAAGGTGGCTGGGCGTTCGTAACTCATCCCCCAACTATCGTCTACCTAATTAATTGAAAAAGGACGGCCAAACCGGAACGCGAAGTTATTAACTATTTGATTTAGTGATGTACAGAATGTACTGTATTTATCGGTTAGGAGCCTTACGTGACACGACTTAAAACTTGTCGCTGTATAATAGATTCATTCATTATTTATCTTCCCCTAAATCTTGATTTTCAATATTATTTCATAATACGTTAAAGTAAACTTAAAAAGCAAACTAAATACTGAGAAACGTTACCTGCAAGTAGTCTTCTAACCAAATTATTGCGCGCATATCAAGCATATTGGTAGGTTCATCTAGCAAAAGTAGGTCTGGTTTCGCAAAAAGTGCTTGTGCTAAAGCTAAACGCATACGCCATCCGCCAGAAAATTCTTTTGTGGGCTTACTCTATAAAATAAAATGAGAATGAACGAGTGAAATATCTTTACCATTAAACAAATATTATAAACATTTACCAAGTAATTTATATATTTCGACCACAACAAAAGCTTTTTAAACTGGTTTTCTGTGATATAACTCAACTTGGTCAACATAGTTCTCAGAACCCTAAACTGTGTTATAACTGGTACTTAATTCAATACCGGAAAGCCAGACAATTCCTAGACATTACTCAGGATGTACGGATCAGACCTTTATTTGTATCGAATCCTGAGATATGCTCATCTTAGTCTAAAGGTCAGTTAGACAGCTACAACGTAGGACCAGGCACATATATGCATCGATCCAAGTTGCCAAAAAGTGGAAATCAGCTACCACGGCAAACTGATTTTTGAAATGTAGACTACAGATTATTCATAGATATGATAGCTAGTTATTATAACTGAGTATTAACACCATCAAATAATTATAATGGGACTTAGAAATCATGTACAGGTTTATATATAGTGGATTATATTTTAATGTTTATTTTTCCGAATTTTAACCTACTTCCTATGTTGAAGAAAATTGATCCAAGCCCTTACTGTTCTTATCATAACTAGTACACCTGTTGTTGTAATTTTGATTCGTAGTTTTTACGTATTACATTTAGTTACATATAATCTATTTCATTGTTATCATTAACTCAAACTGCCTCGATTAGTTCAATAGCTTTATATATCTATATAATATTACTGTATATTAAAGTAGAGCTTAATGAAGATCTAACTGAAAACAATAATGTTCGCCTATATATCCTTTTGATGTAAAATTGAATAATGTGATATTAACTAACCTGCATTTCTGGACTGAAGCCAAGACCATGCAAAACGACAGCAGCTCGAGCTGGAGCCTTATCTGCTTCGATTGCATTTAAGCGAGAATAAATCTCTGCAACCCGAGATTCTATTGTACTTGTGCTACTAGATAAACCTTGATCCGTGCCAGAATTTTTTTTCATTTCAGCCTGAAGGCGAGCCAATTCAATAAGGAGGGTGTGTCTTTCTATATCGGCTTGAAGAACGCTTTCCAAAGCAGGCGTGGAATCACCAACAACTTCTTGTTCTACATGTAGTACGCGGACACCAGGTGGTAAGCGCAAATCTCCCCTGAATTTTTTAGTCAGAGATGTGAAAATTTAACTATTAATTGCACTAAGTAGTTATTAAAACTATGGGGATTGTAAAAAGATAATATACATAGCAAATGACATACCACTTACCTCGGTGTTAGAATCCAAATCCATACGTAGCTTTAATTCTCTTAGTACAGGAGAGATGGTAAATATTTGTACTTTTATCAAAAACGATTATTCATCTACACAATTTCACGGGCTTTCTTCCAAAGCACGAGATAACATTCACAAAATGAAGCTTATCACTCCTAATAAACTCTCAAATGGATACTTACAGTCTATACAAATCGATCTAAGAATTTTTACAGTGAGGTGAAAAACGCAATTAATATAAGCTGATAGGAAGTACTTAAAAGAATGAGCTTATGTCCTGCAACTGAACTTAGAAAGTTTCCCTAACAAACAGACCAGATCAAAGGTTGGGAACGAGAACTAAACACTTGTACACATCAAAAACATAATAAGAAAAACACTAATTTTGTTATCAATGAACACTGTCAATATATTCTAATTAATCTTCCATACATTGACAATTAACAAAAGAGTCATACAAAAAATGTCATCACTAAAAATTGTCCAAATATTATATATGATCTGTGGTTTTTCAAGTGGAATAATAGTGTTTTGTAATTAGCCTCCCTAATGATATATATCTTGATATTGATAAACGATTATTTCCTGAAACACAAACTACTATTCCTGGTAGACAACTAATAACTTTGTTTTCCCTTTAATGTAGTCCCATCTAACTGGGGAGATAAAGTGACTATTGACTAACAGTTTAATTAAATCAACCACAGAGATGACAGATGAACATGTCACGTACAATACACTTAAGACACCTATAGATAGAGCGACATGAAACAGACAAACAAATAAGTACATAACACCACCATAAGTGGATTTATATAAAGTAAATTACCAAGAAGTAAACTAAATAAGTAATTCTTAGAGAATCTGGAGTACCAGAATACATGTAAACCACCGTCAGCTGTGATAGTAATGAAATCAAAATAGTATATGTGCGCAGCACAAAACGCCATTTTTATCCAAAGAAAAATGGAATTGATATTGATCTTTAGATAGATTCGAAACGGCACAAGGACTATTTGGAGATACGTAGACTTGAGAATAACTTCGTCTCGAACCCTTCTGTACTCAGTGTCGGTCTCCTAACGTGGGTACAGAAAGAAGGTTGGTCATAGGGATAGCAACTCTAGCTGGAAAATCGCTAACCAGAGAAAACCAATAGGTCTGAAGACGAATTTTTTATCATAACAAAATAATCTTAGAAATAAAATATAATCAAAACAAGGATACGTAGTGAGCATGAATCTGTATCAAACAAATAGATAACAGAACAAAACGTATGATCTAGGGAACTCGCAGAAGAGAAACAATCTATCTATTCATCCTTCTATATTTCAAAACAGTATTTTCTTTTTTTTTAACAAAGTGACTCATCGCTCTCTAGTTTTACTCAGTATTAACATATCAGTCAGTCAGCTACAACGTAGGACCAGGCACATATGTGCATCGGTTCAAGTTGCCACACCTCAATAGCACAAGATGAACAATGGATTTATAGAAGTAGTTAATTGAGTGGTGGTAATATATAAAAGAAAGGTTGCATATAAGGATACAGTACAGGAAGAAAGAATTGGTTTGTAGAAAGAAAGATATGAAACGATTTTAATCTCTTAGTTTAAGGGAAGACAGAGAGTGTATACACCGACGCCATTGTGATCGATTCTGAGCCATGTCACCCACAGTCTCCAACCATTGGTTACGATAGTTACGCGAACCCCAACCAAGTAGTCTGCATCTACCAACATGGCTCAGACTAGAAGTTAGTGACTTCAAGTACTGATGCCACGTTTTGGTTTGGCCACCCCTAACTTTCTTCAACCATCCCCAACACTAGTCAGCATTGCGCGTTGTGGCAATCGGTGTCTGGGCATAGGTAACACGTGGCTCAACCATCTCAGTCGACGAAGATTCACAACCGCACCAACTAATTCAACATCATTCCCTAGTACCCTGAGTCTAACCTCACTATTGCATACCCGGTGATCCCAGCAGATGCCAGCAATATTTCTAAGACATCTGTGATCAAATACTAGTAGCTTACGAATATCTTCTACTCTTAATGACCACGTTTCGCAACCGCGCAGTATACTCGTCCCTTAATTGATGGACCGACATCTCGCCTTCGCCATAGGTGACGTAAGTTGGCAAAAGCCAAACGAGCTTTTCGAATCCATGCTGAGATTTCGTCAGACACCAACCCATTACGGCTGATCAGAAAGTAAGTCACTAAATTTTAATTGACCCACCAACTTTTCTGACTACTACATGAACTGAAGTAAAATTGATGTCTTTATAATGACAACAATTCAACTTGATTAAACCTCTGATCATAATTTTACCAAGTACCACTGGAAACTAGATATGAAAAATAGACAGTAATTTCACCATAAACTTTAACGTTGTAAATTGTTGAAATTCAAATCCAAAACACAACAAATAAACTACATTGGAAAAGTGAAGAAAAACTAACACCTACTTGGCTAACGATCGAAGCAAAGTTGTTTTACCGAAACCATTTCGTCCCACTAAACCATACCTCTTACCGTACGTGAGAGACAGATTGGCACCTTGTAAGAGAACTCTGAAAATAAATACGAAGGATATAATAATCTTCAAAAAGGCAGGAGAGATATAAGAAACAAGTAGTATGCATGATTATAAAAATCTAAGCTTGCATTTTTTTAAGGTATAGTTTAAGTTACCGTGATTCAGGAACTGCTGCATCAAATAGTTGACTGTACTTTAGACATTTTATGATCTCATTTACCTACAGAAAAAAATCCCAAATTCAGGAGGAATTATGAATAACTCACCTACCACATACTGATTCATGTACTCAACTTTAAGTCACACCGTTTTTGGGGACAGCTGTTGTTAGCCGGTTGTCTAACTCGACGTAGATGATGCTGGGTACTAAATGGTGACGCATAAGTTGAAAGCTGAGTGATTAAACGATCAGTATGTCATTCCACAGAGAAATTAAGTACGTTAACCAAAGCAGGAGAATTTTCGACTTGTATGTCGCAGCTAAACTGCGAATATTTATTTGTCAATCCCACCACGATGACAATCATTTAGAAGAGAACCGTTAGCTATTGGCTTGTTAGCTACAGCAAAATTATTTCATCCAATTGATCCCCTTGGTAGATTTGAACGATGTAGGGAACACTTATTGCCTAGTGTGCTAAAATACTCTGCTTTACTCTAAACTATAGATTTTTGTCAATATAACCCGAAAAATTGAGTCATGTTTGAGTTGACTTTGAGAGGATTGGATCAGAAAATACATGGATTATTAACCCATAAAATCCTTTAACTAACGAAAATGTGGTTCTTTTATAAAGTATTGTACGCCGGAAATATTTATAGATGACTTATCTAACATGGTTGACTAGAAAGTCTCTATCTCCCTATAGGGTTTAGACCAATAATTAATGGCTTCAGTGACTGATATTATGATTCAACTCAGTTCTCTCAACTTGCCTCTATGGCAATCACTATGGTACACCAAACGGTCGTATAAAAACGTTCGTTAAAAGTTTTCTCCAGTGAATGGCCATCCCCTGAAGTTAAAGAGTTGGAATACATTCATTTTCTGTTTGCATACCTGACTCAACGAAGGTTTTAGACTTTTTACAACCCAGAAACAATAAACTAAATGAATGTGTTTTGAATAGTCTATGTATCACAGAATAAATGGAATCCAAGCATTAGAGTCAAGACACGAAGGTTCTTAACCGAGTATAAAAGATAATATGAAAGAAAATAGAATTAATTTACGTTGAAACGTTAAGGTTAATAAACGAAAAGTAATATTGAATAAAGTGACAAAACGAGAATAAGTAAATAAGTAATATGAGCATTTACAGTTTCAATACCAAGAAAGCGACACTAGGGTATGGTAGAACCACTGAATGAGTGATATTGATACTAAGTATGAATTCTTAGTCTGGAGTGTCGCACTAGCTGAATGAGTCAAAGCTCATTAGCATTCGCAGTGATGGAGAAGCATTAGTTTCTCTTTTAATGTTAAACGTATTGTTTTATTGTTGGGTACGCGTAGTCTGCAAGTAGAGTGCACAAAGAATAAAATCAACCTTATTTTTGTTTATCGGTTTAAAGTGATTTTCCGCCAGCCAACTTCAACGCATTTTGGCGTGCAAACTACTTAATAATTTCTATTTATCAACTATTAGTAGTCCAGTTATAAGTCGTCGCCTAATTTTTCAGTATATTTTTCACCGAGATTTGTGTTCAGTGACAATTACTCAGCCCATAAATTATAATCACTTTGGTTAGTATATAACTGACCAACTTGAAAGTAGAAGATAATTCTTCCGAGGTCCTCGACGATGCATCTTCCTTAAAACTTCTTGTCTGTCTTTCTACAGCATATGGAGTCACTTCTGGAGTGCACTAATTGCTTGGTCTACTCAGTTAGCACAGATCATGTTCTGTATTAAAATTCCGCGAGTCCATAATCGGAAATACAAAGAACAATATTGATTTGAAAAACCTGCTCTTAATTTCTTGTTTAACGCAACATTATTAATACTTCCTCATTATTTTCATAATTCCACTAGTTCCCTACTCCCTCTCTAGCTAATACATTTAGCTATATTGCTTTAAAGTGAAGCAACGGATGACTCCGGCTACATAACACGTATTTTTTGACCAGTTTATTTGTGCACACTGGTGACTGGGTTGGCAGTAATTGGAAGGGTGGAGTAACACTTTGACAGTTTCAATATGATCGCAGTACTAGTAGTTCGTACTTATACTACTTCGTGAGCTTTTCATTGTGTTGATAAATATTAACGTTCAGTCCCAATCTAAACAGATTATTTCAGTGAGTTTTATATACATAAATATCAAGGTTTTATATTTTAAATTCTTTAAAAAATATACCTGCTACCATAAGCAATGTCAAAATTTTCCAAACGAATATCCCCTACGTGAGACACTACATGTGAAGATGAGGCTAGTTCCCGTCGGTCAGTCTGTTGACAAACTGTAGCGCGTTCATCCTCCTTGACCTCGATAGCTCTTCTAAGTGAAATTTAGTTACGAAGTATGACTAACCCTGCATTGCCAGGTCTTCCGATAATGGCTTTCTTTAACTGCTTTTCTTTAATTTTAGCCTCAGCCTTTTCTAATTTTTTAGGATCGACGACAGTGCTGATTTGTTTTTTCATCATCCAAATACTAGAATTATCAACCACTCTTTCACTGAATGTATCCAGTAAACTTGCCATCTGTACTGGAGCATCTAAAGTAATTTGCTTTTCAACAAATCCGTCAGACCTGTGCCATCAACGTTAAACTAAAAAAACCTACGGCCTCATCAGTTGATAAATCTTTTTGCATAAGATTTTTATTTCTTGATCATTATCTTGACGGTGAAACCCATCCAAAACTCCACCGATTGCGTCATGCACATCGCCCTCAGAGTCAAAATGCTCAGCATTTTCAGTAAGAATACCTGAAATAAACATTCACAAAAGAAACGCTTTTTACTTTCTATGTAGCTAGAGATATCGTCATCCAAACTAGGAAATGTCTCTTTGAACAAAGTTACAGCTACAGATATCGCTCCAGATTCCATGGAGTAACGCACTAGACAAACGTTCCGCTGGATCACAGAATTTTATCAGTTAATAAACCCTATCTTGAAACCTCAGCTTTAAAAAAATAAATAACTGACCTTAAGTTTTCGTAACACTAGTTTTAAATAATATTTCTTATCTTATTTTTACCGCGCGAATTTCAAAAAAGGCAGTGAATTTTGTACTTGTTGTGATTATACTTGCTTTTGGTACTTATTGCACTAAAAAGCATTCTTGGTCTACTTTAACTAACAGTTCTTTGGTTAAAGTTTGAAATTTTTTGCTACATTTTGTCCTGGGTACCTGTTTTTAGTCCTTGACTAACACTTGTATTCACATTGTTATCATTTTTTTGTTTTTAAACCTTTTAAATCGAATTACAATGGTTGGTAAGACTCACAAATGTGGGCAACCAAACTGTTTGTTCCCTGTGGAAGAGGGAATGCAGTGTGACGAATGCCATAAGTGGTTCCACAAAATGTGTACCCGCTTAAGTCCCACCGCATACAAAAGATGCTCGAAGCCTAACTCACATTGGCTTTGCATGTTTTGCTGTGCCAACAAGGCGTTACTAATACAGGAGGCTATGAGCCTGTTGGCTTTGGCCTGTAAAAAGATGGATGGCATATGCGCCGACAACACGGGCACTGACAGCGACGAATGTGTCAGTGTAGTACCTGCTGTTACGCGACGCCTCAAACAATCGACTCCGACTGACGTAAAAGTGGAATCTTCGTTGACATTAACAGGGGGAGTAGTACCACCTGGTACTGACATTGTTATTAATGCACCTTTAATGGAAACCGAAGATCTGGATAAAACAGTCACCGTTCCAAATAGTCCCAGTGTTATGAGGGATGAAAAATGGACTACGGTACGTAGGAAACGAAACGAAAAGAAAAAAGCTGTAAGCAATACACAGGTAGTTAGTAACTCCCTGGTGGACCCAAATTGTGAGCCACAAATTGCACTACCAAAATCTGAAGGTAAGAGTGAAACCCATCCTGGCGTGACTGAGAAGAAAAATCTAATAACATCGAATATTATTGTGAGCGAATTGCGGGAGTCAAACGACCCTGATCCGAAAATTAGACACGCGCATGACTTAGAAGAGCTAGGAGAATACATTCGTAGTATTTTACCAGATAACTCCAAAGGAGTTCAGGTCAAAAAATTGGTAAGAATAGGCAAGAGGACCGAGGACAATGTTGAACCCCGTCCATGCAGACTCCTTAAGGTAATCCTAGGATCGGAGAAGCAACGGGATCTCTTGTTAAGTAGCGCTCGTTGTCACGACAATTCTGACATCCGAGTTAGACCTGACATATCTCTCGAAGATAGAATAAAAAGGAAGAAAGCACTAGCTGAACTTGAAACCCGTCGGCAAAACGGCGAGGAAAATCTCCGGTTAGTGGGTTTTCGGATAGTCAGGTCTTGGAAGCGAATACTACCAAGGCCTGTGTGGATAGGCTGTTCTACTTAGGAGTTTTATATGCCAACGCTCGTAGTTTACGAAATAAGTTCTATGAACTAGAAGCACTAGTAGACAGGTTAAAGCCACTCATATTAGCAGTGACAGAAACTTGGTTAGTCCATGACTTAGACATTACTCCAGAATTATCCGGATACCATTGCATCAGGAGTGATAGACATAGATGTAGAAAAGGAGGCGGCGTCCTGTTATGTATAGCCAATGGCGTAAATATCCCCTCCTTTACTAGCGAATCCCATGATAGCGGCACTTGTGAAGTCATTAGCTGTAAGTTGGCTATAGGATGTAGTACATTTATGCTAGGTGTCATCTATCGGAGCCCAATCTGCTTAGCTGATGACTTTGTTTTAGAGCAGGTTCATCTTTGGAATGATAATACCAGGTGCTTGATAATAGGAGACTTTAACGCACCTGATATTAGTTGGACTGATATGACCACAGAAGGATCTATAAACTCCTTTGATAGTAGGTTACTGATAACAATAATGGAGCATGCACTAGTGCAGCATGTATCCCAACCCACACGTTTTGGTGTTAACTAGGGTTCTTCTCTGCTGGATTTGGTAATCACTCATGAGACTGAGGATATTGTCGACTTAAATATTCTTCCACCGTTAGCAACAGCCTTCTGTGGGAGAGAACAAAGCAACTTCCAGCTGAAGAAGAAATTAGGAAAAGACGATGGAAATGGATAGGACATACATTACGCAAATCGTCAAACTGCATCACGAGGCAAGCTCTAACTTGGAATCCTGAGGGGAAGCGAAAAAGAGGAAGGCCAAAGAACACATTGCGTTGGATAATAGAAGCAGATATGAAAACGTGTAGAATTATGGTCTACTACGATATTAGTACTGCTCTAATAATAGACCTAATCCCAAAATTGTAGATTCGTCATGATATAACTGCCTAATCTATAAGATCTTACGTGGAAGTCACACCAACTCACTGTACCGGATCAATTACCAATACATGATATATAAGAAGGTTAGGTTAGAGAAAGAACAATATATTTAATATGAATAGAGACCACGCCTGCATGGCCGAGCCATGCCACTCGATCAACCCCAGTCCATTCAATTCATTCTTCGCGCCTTCTCCATTGTTAGGTATTTCCCCGAGTTAAATATTGAATATCTATTTCCTGAGTAGTCTCGTGTTCACAGCTTTGTGGATTGTGTGGCTATTGTCCAATGCCACTACACTACTCTCCCACCAGAATCAACGTGATGTTGGTTCGATACCAAATTGGATGGGATCGTCGCGCGCCGGAGGTTACCAAGGATAATAAAGATCCTCCGGGTATTGATAAGCTGAAAGATAAATCAAAAAGGAGGCGGCAGCATCTGGTCGGGAAATACATGTAATAATTTTAAAATATCTGCCTTCATGCTTAAAACGCTTGAAATGAAAATTTGGGTGAAGATTATTTGAACTATAAAAAATGAGATTATAATAATAATAATAATAAAACGATGCGTGTTAATAACTTAACGTATAGGTAGTAAGTATTTTGTGTTTAGAAATATTAAAGTGATGAATATTGTAGAAATGTTAATATTGGTATTAGTTTTGGTTAAAATTATGAAACCAATTAACAATTATGCTGGTAACCCGTCCATAAGTGATTTCCAATTGCATCTGTATTAGTAGGCTAACTGGGAGAACAAAAGTATACCGTGGAGAAGAATTCCAACTAGTGTTCCAGTTAGTTTGATACGGTTTATTTAGTTACGGGGAGATTTTCTCAACCTCATTTTTATTTGACCGTGATAGAATTTAGTAATACTACTAATACACATGAATGGTTATCAAAATAAAATTTAAATACATGAGTGATAATTATATGAATTTTGGACAGATAGCTAGGAACAAATCGCTAAACATGAGTGTGTTCGTAAGAGACATGCTCTGGACTCAATGTTCTGATCTGCAATAGACTATTTATTTATATTTATACTTGCTGGCTGATTGGGCATACAAGTTAGTTGCAAGTATGCAGTTTATCATAAGGCGGAATAAGATTAAATTGAGATATAGTGGTTATAGGTTATTAAAATCAGTTAGGCCTGTGTCATATTACGAAGTGATGTGGTGCCGCAGGATGTATTCGGCTAAATAAGCTTTTACAAGATGATTAACAGTGAGTGATGCTCATGTGATTATCAGGAAGAACACAAGTTGTAACCAAGGGGAGTACACTCCCAACTCACGTCTATGATAATGGCTTGAACCTTAGTCAGTGTTGGGGTAAATTCGACATTGATGTTTTCAGTTTGCAGGAGATTTGCTCGACTGCTTATACTGATTATTTGCATGCATGATTGTGTCGCTAAACCTCCAATTAGACTGACAAGGTTTTGAGATATTTACTGAATGAGCAACTGATAGAGAAACATACTGTAATCATCCGTAGTGAATGAAGATAAAAGAAAAACAACACTAGTGATAATTATAAGTCAATTTGCTGACCGATTTTGTTAATAGTCTCATTAATTTTATCAATCATATTACGTGATTGTCATGACAATGCTTTATGACGATATCCTGAAACTATTATGTTTAACTACTTATAGTGTTGATTAAGGATTAGTCAGTGGAAAAATAGGTATTGTTGCTTTAGGTGATTCAAAATCATCAGAAATTTATAACGTTAAAGAATCCGAGACGCCTAATTTAATTATAAATTTCAATTCAGAAATATTCGTTTAGTGTTCATTCTAGTAGGCTACTGAGTTTTGATTTTAAACGTTTGTTTAGCCAACAGCTACTTGGGGATTTAGTTATTTCACTAGTGCAGTTGATAGTACCTAAATTTTTAATCTTATTATCTAAACTATGTTCGCATTTTAGGCTGCTAATATGATAAACTAATCCATAAACCCAAATACGATTAGCAACAACGACTATGATGGGTTTATTGATAAATGATAAAGGCGATTCAGATGATTTCTAAATTTAGAAGACATGGAGATATAGTGTAACGTATGTATGGGCCAGGTTAACATGCAGGTTGTTGACGTATATGACGATTTAAAAATAATGAACATGACCAGAAAATAGTTTTAAAGTTTAGACTGCTTGTGAAACTTCAGGCAGGAATATGATGCGTTATAAACATTCCATAAGAAGTTACTGCTTTTAGCCTAGGGACACTTACAAATATATGGCAAAAGGAACCGGAAAACATATACATGTTAAGTAAAAAAAATCATCCAGTAAAATAGTTGAACTCGCCTGGATTATTTTTGAAAATTAGATTATTCAGTGGACGACATATATAACGCCATTCGTGAGGAGTAGTAATGATCCAAAAGCATCCAGAATAAAACATACAGTATGGCAATCACTTCCAGGGTGCTTGATGCTGTTGAGGTCTTTGGGACTCGCTCTGATCAGAACAACTGAATAAATCCAGATAATTGTGTGTGCCATCTAAAATGAACTTATGATTGCAGAAAACTTATAGCTGGAACTCACCGTATGTTTTCGGAGTAGTCATCCTCGTTGTTTGGCAATGGAACTCGAGAATATGAAATTAGGCAGGCAGTGGTCGGAAGAAAAGATATT